GCAATCATGGAAGCTGGGTTCGTGGATGTGCATGAGGAAGAGTACAAGATTCCCCTTGGGGCTTGGGCTAAGGATAGTATACTCAAGGAGACCGGACACCTTCAGTATGGCCATTGGAACGCTGCTCTGGAAGGTTGGGCGATGTGGCTGCTCACTCACTATGGGGAGCCGGTGCCGTGGACAAAGGAGGAGGTGCATGTGTATTTGGCTAAAGTGCGCAAAGAGCTGAACAACCCGCACATTCATGCTTATGAACCTGCGTAGGTTTTCTTTGGATTGCATCGCTGGCTTGGTTTGTACTGATGAATTTTAGGAACCGTGTGTGGGCAAGAAAGCCTACCAAGGAGGAATTGGATGTGAAGGAGGCAAATATTAAGGTCGAGAGATCGCCGTAAAGTCGGGTTAGAACTTTCTTGGTGGGTGGATGTGGTCCTTGTTTTTCTTTTTCCGCGTTCACGGATTCTCGAAGTGAAGTTTTGTTCGTTGTCGGCTCTTTTCTGAGCTCTTTCATATCATTCCTGTTTTCTCGGCATCTAAGCTTATTGATTATGCAATACTTAAGGTCATGGTAAAAGCAGAAAGGGAAAGCCATGGAGCGCAGTTTAAAATCTGGTATATATGAACAAAAGATCACGGATTTTGTAGCTATTTTCCATCATGTGCGGGGAATCACAAATCATTACCAGAGTAGCGGTACGTCGCATAAATTAGAAAGGGATTGACAGCATGAATCGGCCAAAAAGAAAACGCCGGGTAGATGTGTATCAAACGAAAATGGAGGGAAATTGCAGATGCGTATGCGGTTGACCGTTGAACATCACAACCTAATGAAGGAAGAAGAAGAGAAAAAAAAGATACAAGGAACAAGGTAGTTCATTAGGTGATGATTTGTTCAAGGCCAGTCAGAGACAGACACCAAGGGAGTTGCACAATAGTCAACAAAAAAATGTACTCAATGCTGTGCAAAAAGCATGGCAAGAAAGAAGAATATAAGAAAGGTAACATGCTGAGATATATATATCGAACCAGCCAAAAAAATTACAGTGTCACAAGGACAACAAGAGCCACCAGGACGCCGAAGAGCGAGCCGCGGAGGACACGCTCGTTCTGGCCGGCCGCACCGTTGCCAGTAGGGGTGCCCTGGGTGAATCCCGAAGTGGAAGTCTCCTCATCGGTGGTGGAAGTGCCAGAAGAAGTATTGGTGTTGCTGGTCATGCCACCAGAGCCACCGTTGCCGGTGGGGATGCTGTTGGAGCTAGATGCGGTTGAAGAGCCCGAGCTTGACTTGTTAGCGCCGAGGTCCATGTCGAGACCGGTGGCACCAAGGGAGCCAAGGACGGTGTTGTTGTTGGTGATGGAGATATCACTCTCCATGGCAGTGGACTTGGTGTAGAGGTAGGCCTTGCTGCCCTTCTTGGTGGCATCGGAGGGAGGGTCATAGCACTTCACGCTGACCTCACCGACGGTGGCAAAGTCGTAGCCGACGGTCTTGATGTCCTCGCTGTTCCAGTCGATCTCACCACCAGCCCAGTCAATGGTACCCTGGGCGTTGCTGGGCTGGCCGGCGGGCCAGAGTGACATTTGAAGGCGGGAGGGTGTCTGGGGGAACTCGTACTGCTTGGAGGTCTCGTTGTAGGTATCGGCCTTCTTCAGGGTGCGATGAACGGTGCCGTCGACGACCCAGTCCACCTTCTCAGGGGTCCAGTCGATCTCGTAGGTGTGCCAGTCATTGAAGGTGTCTTCGCCCTCCACGCTGATGTTGCCGCTGTTGTGCCCTAATTATCCGATTAGTATGATTATATCGGATCGGATCATTCTTGTCTTTGACTTACAGTCCAGAACACCCTGCCAGTAGTAGTTGGTCTGCACGGTGGTCAAATCAGCACCGACCCACTCGTAGTCGATCTCGTCCTTAACATCGGACAGAAGAATGAACGCGGTCACGACACCCTTGCCACGGGAGCTCTTAAACTTTCCAGAAATCTTGCCATACCAGATGTAGTGGTTGTTGGCGAAGAGAGCACCGACACTCTTGGCAGGCATAGTCATGATCAGATTGCCATCTTCGGTCTTAACCTTTCCACTGTAGGTCCAATCGGCAGCGCTGGCGTTACCCAGGTACTTGTCCTGAGTGACAGCATTATCGAGGTTGTCCCAGGTGTAAGTCTTGCTCTCGCAGACGGGCATAGGCGCACAGGAATCGAGAGAGAACGAGGCGAGGGGATCGCAACCACCGAGGCAGTAGGCACCGGTACCGCACTCACCATATTCTGTATTGGATAATTGGTTGGCTATGAATTGCAATCTTAGGGGGGGTGAATATCACTCACGGGAGCAGCAAGGGTATTTCTCAGTTTTGCACTGGCTGCTGGAGCTGCAGGATTGCGCGGCGAAGGCGGTCACTGACAGCGAGGCCAGGACCAAAGGTGTCACAAAGCGGACCATTATTAAGTATACTGTTGGTATATACAGTGGGAATGACAGAATATCCAAGAATTTGAATCCAAGCCACAGGAAATGAGGGAAAGTGTGGGGAAGCAAAGAAAAGGGGGCAACAATGCAAGTTAATGTGATATAATGTGATATAAACGAGAGGCAGCAAGTGAAGATGAATTCACTGCAAGGGCGATAAGATAATTATAACAGAACGAAAGCAAGTTCTCGCTGAAGAGAGAATGAAAACGGAGGGGAGGCGAATATTTATTAATATGATATTCCCCTCCCACGGCTCTGAAAACATAAAAACATAAAAACATAAAAACGTGAAATGAACAGAAACTAACCCAATCAGGATGAACTCCGTTCAATCTTGGGTGGTAGGATCCATGGGTCAGAGTTCAAAAGGGTCAAGAAAATCAATTTTCTAACCAAGGAACTATTCTGATTGGCTGATAATTTTCTTCTATTTTTTCTTTTTACTTTTTTCCCATTTTCCTTTGTGGAGAGGTTCGGGGGATTCCCGTCTGTGCGTGGTATTGTGATGGTATTATGATGGTATTAAATGAGCATTCAGGTATTCTAAGGGTCACTTTGAACAGCTGATGATCTTGTCCAGGTGATAATATAGCCCCCGGGGACTGTTGAATGTGGTATGACAAAGAAAAAAAAAAAATAGATAACTAACTACCTAGGTAATCACCTCTACCTAGGTACAAGCCAATTTAGCCAAGCCAACCAGTCTTAGCTTTTAGTCAAATTAATTATCGCAATTCCCAAAATGCACAGTCTATGACCGTTTAAAACTGAGACAGCCCCAGGTGTTTGTAGTCGGAAATTGGTGTAAAATGGGTACAATACTAGCGCAAGCATTGGTACTTTCCACTTTCCCTTTATCTGCGGAGAAATAGCACTTTACATTGATCTGCATTTGAAACAATGTCTAACTCCGTACATGGTTCGTTGTTGTACTTCATAACTATGTACTATACGTACTGGAGAGTACAATTTAGTACATCTGTAACTAACTATGTATACTTGTATGATGGATATTGTGAGTTGTATCCTGTGATAACCCCTTTAAATCGGACTTCCAATATCCGTTCGCCAGGCGTCTTAAGCCGGACCAATTAGGCGGGTCGAAAATACATGTGGCCAGTAGGACAAGGAGTACGAATCAGCCCCAAAATTCGATAATCTTAATCCATGCGCGAGCCTCGCATTAGGCTATCATCGACTTCCAAGAGTTCACTACGCTCAATTCCTCTCTCTCGGCGCTCTCGGCGCCCTCGGCAACAAGCACTTGTATTCCGCACTAGGAAGCTCACTTTCGCCCCCAAGATTCTCCAAGACTTTGACCAGTGAAATCTCCTCTCTCCTGCCTATTACAACGGCAATCCCAAACTATCTAACCTTATCTGCCTCGGTTATTAGCCCCGTCACCAGGCACCAGCACCCACACCAAGCACTAGGGAGGAACGTAGATCACTAGTGTACTGTGTCGGGCATGGGCGTAAAATGACAGATCGTGGTTCTTTGGCTCCATTCTCGTTCTCGGTTATGCGTTGCTGAGTGCGGCGCTAGGGGGAACTGATAACAGATAAGCAAAGTCCACCCCTTTGCCAGCAACTAGTTGTTTTCAGATGGTATGCTTCTAGAAGGAATGTGGCAATCTCCGATCTACACATACATACTACACACGCGTCATCAGATCTACTTCGTACGATATCTCGAATACTTGTTATGTATGTTGTACACTTTGAAACCCAACGGATGTGGTACGGGGGAATGTAAGGAGATTTGGTTATTGGTTGCTTTTGCTAAAATCAAACTGGTTTTTATCAGACTTGTATGATACGTTGGCTGATTTAAAATATGCAACACACGTGTTCTCCAATTATCAATGTTGTACTTCTGCGTCAAATTCCTGAGCCAGTGTGTTGAGTTACCATAATGCCTGGCAGCAGTTCAACGACTACCATGACAAGGGCACATTCAATCTGACGAAGCTCACCGCTCAACTAGACCTCCGCACCGGCCCATAAAGCCCATAGCCCAACCCGGACCAACCCGCAAATAGGCTGGTCTTTGGGCTAGTCCTTAGGCCCATCGATAGGCCTTAGGCCTAGGGTAAAAGCCCACTAGGCTTTTATAGGGGCCCAATGGGCCTCAAACAATACAAAAATGCCAATTCTTGGCAGATTTATAAGTAATGTAGATTCTTCTAGTATTTTTAAGTATTTAAATTACCGTCTGAGACCCAAGTTAATCGAGACTTTATAGGAATTGAGTCAATCAATTGGCAAAATTGACCATAACCAACATCTGCTATACTAGATTAATAAGTGTTGCTTGGACCGCGATGATCGTAGTTCAGACCGAATAATAGGTGCCGCGAGGGGGCTTAGAGGCTTAGAGGCTTAGACAAGTTTCAGCCTCGCTGATCAGCTGATCACCTCGACTACATTAAAAAGGCCACTCTGTCCGTTAATCAATTTTAAAAACGAAGCTCCTATCTAGACTCGCATCTCCCTATCCTACGTATTCTATTTACAGCGTGCAAAATGGTTGGGGACTGTAGCTATGACTGCTCACGACACCCCGATAAAATTGAATTTGACTCTGATATAACTGGTACTGGGGTAAGGCTCTGCATCTGTTGTGGCTCCATTCTACTAAAAGCCTTCCTAGGTCATTATCGGATATGTTGCAACAGCTGGGATTGCTATCATCGTGGTTATTGCTCACTATTTTGTCGTATATCAACCGAATTTGGATCCGTTTCGTAAGGAGAACAATGTTGGCTGTTCTCGTGCCGTGCCGTTTCAGCCAAACCCTGTCGACCTGATCATCCTCCGGTGCATCAAGTGGCCATTCAGAGGGTTTCGTGCGGTAAAGAGATCGAGCCCTTCGCGCTCGCCTTATCCCAATATCCCTCTAACAAAAGTTCGTCGTGTTCCATGAGGATCTCAAGCAGATTCTAACAATGACAGTGCATTCTCGTGATGAGTGATCTCCAGCTCGCTACAGGTATTGCAATACTCATCAGTGGCTATACCCAGCTCCGCTGTGGTCTTTCTTCGTACCACTGGTTGGTCATAGGTCGTTTGGCGTGGTTCTCAAGCCTGACGCATCTCTCGTGCCTGACCCTCTTGAGAAACTATCTCTATAACCGAAAACCCCAACGCCAGTGGAGACTGCTTTTTATGCTGGCTCTCATAATTATGCTTATTACTGCAATGGTTCCCACTGGAAGCTATGAGTGGAATTCCTCCGGTGAGCTGGTCCAGGTCTCCGAACATAATCCGCTAGGAAGCGATTATGCCATCTGCCGCTTTTCCGCCCCTGTCCTCTCAGGCTCCGTTGAGGCATTTGTGTCCATGGTTATACTAGTTTCCTTTATCGGACTGGGGTTTATCTTCCGAGTAATCAAGCTTCACAAGCCCCTGTCTCTATTTGTGGTTGAGACTTTGAGGAGACGTATAAGCCACGGCTTGCGGAGGCTACTTTGGATGTTATATCACTGGAGGAGCCACCCCAAAGGGCTGGGGCGCTTTGCAGGAGACATTCTCTACTATCCGGCGCTGGCATTATTCTTATCTTTGCGCCTTGTCGCAGACCATTTCTCCTCAATGTTCTTTGAGGTGAGTGCTCATTTTATCGCAAATACCACGCACTAACTCATGCTAGGTATACTGGCTCATTGCCAGTTTCCTTTTGGGCTTGTGGAGTCTGCTACGGACTCTAAATGTTTTGTTTCCAGATCGCAACTTTCACCTTCTCTTTGACGGCATCAGCGATAACAGGTGGAGTTTTGGACAGGTCATGCCCGTTATCCTTCTCGCGACTCCTCTTATCGCCGTACTTGAGTCTTTTTACCCAGGTAAGTCAAATCCCGCAGTGCAGTTTGCGTTTACCGGCACTCAGTCAAATAGTACTAAACTTATTATATCAAAAGACAATCCGACCGGCGTTGGATCAAAGGCGCCTGCTACCCCAAACCATAATCCAACCAGCAGCATGCCCCTTGGCATTGTGAGACCAAGCACGCCCACAAGTTCCAACTCCCCAAAATTTAATCCCGACCAGAACTACTATTATCATTCCACTGCAATGGGGGCAGGGACTGCTTATGTTTTAATGTGCGAGCTCGCGTTATCAGGGCACTTCCTATACTATACCTTTGGCTCAACAGTGGTGTCAGCTGTAGAGTTCCTGGGTTTAGGGTGTGTAATTCCCCCTATTGGGCTATGGGTCACCATATATGTCTCATTTCCCATAGATCATTTTGCGAGGGGGAAAGGCCCACATTGGCACTTGGGGATCCTCCAGACAGTGAACGTGGTCCTTATCTCTGGTGCTTCTGCAGGGCTTATTTTCCTACTGGTTGCCAGTGGGGTACCACACTAGAACGCGGGATGCTATCAGCCAATGAATCCGCCTTGCGAAACGAGCGTTGATGTCTGATCACGACAACCTCGGATTACGAGATAATCCGCACTGATCTGATCGGGGGCTGAGCTGAAAGCATTTGTGAGACGAAATTTGCAGAAACACGACACGAAAGGACACGAAAGGACACGATGCCGCTACGGGCTGTATTCCAGCGTTTACGCTCCTGCGCGACAAGCTGCGTATCGGGTTGAGCGGCATCTCCAGTAAATGAAATGCGCAGTGGTCGGTGGGGGCCAGAGTGAAAGAAAGTTATTATAGGTAAATAGCTAGCGATTTCTATCTATAAGGCCTAAGAAGTATATATAAAATTAGTCTAAGTTCCGATATAAGGCTTAGGCTAAACGTCCTAGTTATCCCGTTTCGGTATATAAGACGCTATAATATAGGACTACTAGCTAATAAGTCTTATAGGCGAATATAAACGTCAATGTTACAACCTGCCCCTGAACTGGCGAGTTACAAACTAGGCCAAAAGACCACTATATCTGAGCATTACGCTCAGATAGACCAGGCTCCGATATATATAGTGCATGACATGACAGTCTAGTAAATAATATATATTAAACCGCTATCTCTAGATACGGCCGGGTATCCTATATCGGCGGAGTACTAGATACGCGGCTAGGTAAAAGGGGCGGCGGAGAATTACCGATAGTAGTAAGCGATATCGACCTTAATATAGACTACCTCGTGACTAGGAAGGCGTAGACGACTTAGATACCGTCGAATTAATAAGTCTATACGCGCGACAACGTCTACGTCGAACTCGTCCTAGTAGGGTAAACGTCCTATTCGATAGGACGTAAGCTAATAGACTATCTAGTAAGGCCTATCTACTACGTCTATATAAGCCTATAGGCCTCGTCGTAAAATATATAGGTCGAATGCTACTCGACGATAAGTTAAATAGGGGCCCCGTACGGGGAGGGCTAAAAATAAAATCGAAAAAAGATACGAATAACCCTAAAGGAAACCCTTCGGATCGTACCAGGGCGTGCTACCAATCTGTTACACATAGTATGATAAGTTAGGAGATAAAAGAGTTGATTCTCTAAGATGGCAACTAGCTGCCGTTTACCCCTCCCAGCTGGTCAGCTGACTAGTCAGCTGACCGTGGGTAGGCATGAACCAACTAAACCATAGCAAACTAAGACTAGGAAATGTGACAATATTGCTACTAAACCTAATCGGACTTGGACACAAAGTATTGGTCCGGATTATCCACATGGTTCAGAATATTGTCTTATCTAAGCGCGTTCGCTTCCAATTTAATCGCGTTATCTGCAAGGGGCTTCCGTATCGATAATGGGATGTCAGGTGATGATCCCTAACAGGCCGCGGTAAAGCTTGTTTTTACACTTGACCTCTGTGGGGCCCAGGCAGCCCCACCTCATCAACATCTATTGACCCTTGAACACTCTTACACTTCAAATTTCGCGATCATGGAACCTGCACAAACCCAACTAGCTCGTGCCTTGCCACCATTAAACTTGAACTTCGGAACGGCAAATCCATCTATCCACAGTGATCGTGTCTCCCTCGCCTATATACAACAGTGTGGGATTCGTTTGTTCGTGATGCTTTCGACCTCTTCCGCCAGACACCCATTACCCACGAGGTAACCTTCCACGACGAAGACGAATTATACACAGTTGGAAATGAGCTAGGTCTCACTGGAAGATTCATCCGAAACCTATGTGACCCAGTTATAAAAGCACTCAAACCCCTTCCAGGCATGTCTTCCATGAGATTCGCTGATATCCAGGCTATTTGTCACGCAAGTGATATTGCTCCGGACGTTTCTTTGGGTCTGGTCAACAGCGAGCGTACGCCTGACAATGTTTATTTGGTCGGGGAGTTGAAAACGTCTTGGGCAGTTCCTGAGGCTTATATGAGACTGAATCAACCGAGCACCTCTTATCACCTTGAACCTCTGATCGGTATGTCCCTGCTTATCTCATACTCATCCCGAGGTCTCTTACGTATCTCTTGTCTTTGTTATTATGGAAACTTAGCTGACTCTGTTCCCGATGAACTGCTAGGCCAGCTTGCTAATCAAATGCGAATGGCTTCCCTGCAATACGGTTTCATCTCCACATACAATTCGACGGTTTTTGTGAAAAGGACCGCTGACACTTGCTTTCTGCTCTCGCAACCGGTCAAATATAACGCCCTACAACCATCGCTTCGCCAACTTTTTGCAGGGTTCTGTCTGATGGCCTTGTCCGAGCCGCGGTACCACGAGAGCCCGTCTTTTCCTGTCACTAGTGTAAGTATCTATCCGGGTAACTTTGAGCCAAGGAGAGTTACTTATTTATCGAAAAGCTCAGAGGCGCTCCCCCGGTACGTGTTCCAAACCGTCTCCGTGGCCATGATGACCCCTCGGCACCACCAGCTGCCACCGGAACCGAAGTCATCACTTCAACGAGTGTGATACTGGATAATGGCTCAACCGCACCTATTATCGTCAACTGCTGCCAACAGATATCAACTCCTAGCGTGGACGACAAAGCGGTTTGGTTAGCCAGCATGAATAACTCGCCTGTTATTCTAAAGTGTTGGAGACCTAAGTTAGATCAGTTGTGAGTCGTGGACGGCATATCCTCTTATTAGGCTTAACTAATCATTTATATATAGGTTTGATTCTGAGGCAGGTGTCTACGAGCGTATCTGGCAAAGTCAACCCCCCGGCACAAATATTTTCGCGAGGTGGATAGCAATGGGGCGAATCATTTGCTCTAGTGTTTTTCCAGTCGGATATGCAATTGTTCTCCAATATAGAGAGGGCGCCAGGCTCAGCGATATCTGGCATACACTCAACGAACTTGAGCGAGCATATGTCAAGACTCAGTGTCTCAATGGAATCAACGCCCTTCGGCAAGTTGCTGTGCGTATTGACGATGCTGGTATGCATAATATACTTTACAGCAGATCAAGCCGGACGGTGACTCTACTCGATTTTGAGACTGCAGTGGAAGTGGAGCCTGACACCCTTATCCCCACCTTTCACGAGATGGGAGCAATATTCGGACCGAACGCTATGCTGGGACATGAGCATGAAGGATAGTCTCTTGAAATTTTTGTTCCCTAAAGCTGACTTGTTTCTCGTTGAAGCCCGAATTGAGATCAGAGTGTGATGATTGAGGGAGGGAAACAACAGGAAAAAAATATGTATTTTTAGTCTTGCTGCTGAGGAGAAGAGTGTGATTATTGAGGGAGGAAACAACAGGGAAAATAATATGTATTTTTAGTCTTATTGAGGAGAATGATGCGGTGAAGTCACCGCCTTTCGAGGACGGGTGATGATTCCGCTCATCTCTCTTCCGTGGTTTTAGATGATCAACCAATTACTTTTCCATCGATTTCTCGTTCTATCCTCTAGTTTTCTGACGGAGAAGTCGTCTCTTGTAGCTGACGAGATCCCTAGGATCGTCTAGAGTAACAACCTACAGGGGGGATCTGTCCCAAGGGTTGGGATAAATTTCGGTCTGTCTAACTACGGCTATGCCGGTAGATGGCCTTAAGAAAGCGCTTCCTAAGAAGAAGTAGCATCTCTTCAGAGAGATGATTGGAATGAGAGAGATCAGTTATTTGATTAATCCAAAACAGAGGAAAATTGAATTAAAAAAAAGATCAGCAGCTCTTAAAGGCAGGCGCCTTATGCTGTTTCGCTAATTCTGACGCCCATTTTGCCTCTGGATCTGCGGTCGAGACTGTATTCTTCGGGTCCAAACCCCAGCCCATTTGGTGGGTTGGGTTGGGTTGGGCTGTGGGCTTTGTGGGCTTTCTTGAGGTGGGTTAAGCCTGAGCCGGGGTCTTCTTCGACGGTGCCTATATATTGTTAGAGATCCAACCGTGATAGTACTTTTGAGATCTAACCTCCTTTAGGGCGGTGACTGTGCTGCCCTTGGGCTGAGCCTTGGTGAGTATCCTCTTTCTAGATTCTTCCTGCTTATGGTTAGACTGGGTCTATCTATGATTGGACTTTTGAGACCTGACCTTTTGGGTGGGGGTTGCGCCACGGTTCTATGATAGAGATTATGTTAGCAACTATTCAACATTTCTCCGGGAGAAAATTACTTTTCTAGTTAAGGGTTATATAATGGCGGTCCTTGAAAAGCCAGGTAGGTTGATCTAGGTGAAAAACCCCGAGCCCGAGATATGTTATTCGAAATTGAAATATGTAATGAATGGCGATAAGTGAAAGAGGGTAGACAGCGGGAGTAGGACGAGGATGAAAATGAACCTATGATATAGGTCGGCTTGAAGAGTTAGCCATCAGATCTGAGCGATGGTATGAGAAAGTGCTGGCGATACTATAATAAATAACACCTAGGCCGAAAAATAGGTGCCAAGAAGGCTAAGACCAAAAGGTAGACTTTTTGCTGTGCCAATAGTGTTTTACTTTGGTGTGCACCTATTAGTTACAGGTGCCCAAGCGTTAATAACGGGGGTGCCACGAGGGCATATACCCTTTTATTTTGAAGTGCAGAGGATGGCACTAGTTCTGTTGAAAATCGGTGGAAGAGGCTAGATCGTATGTCACCTCGAAAGCAACACAGAAGATAATGCAAATTGAAATGTAAACCACCCCATAAAATAAAGTGAGTACCGGGTTATAGGGCCCTCGGGGTTTACTTACCTCCTCCGTTCGGGGGTTGCTACGAATATATGACTTACCAATTGACTCTCACGGACCAGAGATAGATCGAGCCCTGGTCACTTTTATCAAGACTTGTTGGGTCTAGTGGGTCATTGGTCGGTCCCGTGGCATCTTGCTGGGAGAAGTGCGGCGTAGAACCAGGAGTTGAGAGTGGAGGTTTTCAGTAGTGAGATGGATATGATTTTGATGTGAAGGGAAAGGGTGTGAACGGGGGATCAAATAAGATGTGACTAGCTAGCGAGGTGAGGCGGGTTTCTGTGCAAAGAAAGGAAAGTCGAGAGGGCGATAAGCATAATAACAGTGGTGATATTGCGAAATAAAGGCCAACATAGAGCATAGTTATCGCCCGAGATGCAGCAGGCAGGATATTATGCTCAGATGGAGCTCAACGTGTACGCCGAGCTTATTGAGTGTCTCTGAGTGGCGTGCGATTGCCTCCAAGTGACTGGCCATATCTCCGTTCTGGTCATGAGGTAAGCACCCGCCAATGCGTCTAAGGGCATTGATATCGTCTGTGAAGACGAAGACCTCTTTAGTCTTCCCGTGGAGATGGGATCTGGTCAGCGACAAATGCTGCTGAAGGAGATCGTTGTCTGCACTGAGCCTTTCCTGAAATGAAGAGGAGGCTAGAAATAGAATGGGTAATGTAACATATATACTAGTTATCTCGACTAAGGATGCTGCTAAGATCATAACTTAGGGCTAGGGATTACATGTAGGGTTTATAAGGCCATGGATAGGAAGAATATGCCAGGCGAAAGAGGCCTGACAACATAAGACATAAGCATTTGAGCAGGGTGGGGCTACGACGAATACATAGACAGAGCCTAGAAGATTATACTATGTAGAAAACTGCAGTGCGACAAGAGTGTGAGGTCGAGGTATAAAATAAGCATTCTTTAGATCTTCCCTCGGCCCTCTCTCATCAACCATCGCCTTCGACTTCTACTGCATGTATCTAACTCCCAGCAATATCTTTAGTGACTGCATGAATCAACTGCAGTTCCTCACTCTTCGTTTCCTTCCACATCTTCTTGCCAATAGCTTCAACGCTTCCCTGCTGAGCACCCAGCAACTACATATCTTGATCTTCTGATCGCACTTTTACCTACGCATAACTTCATCCTTCTTTTTCAAAATGGCTGCTCGAACATTAGACAAAATGCGCAAGGCTCAGTCCCTCCTTCGCGAATGCCATGACTGGGTAAGTCATAGGTACTTTCGTCAGTTTCACCTCATGTTTTACTGACTTCTCGACAACAGTTTGTGGAAAAAGACGAGACTCTGCTAGCAGTGGAACTGTGCCAAATTGAAGGCAGCCTTGCACTTTTCTTCGAGAACAGATGTTTTGCAAATACGCCATGCCCTGGACTTCAACAGGAGGAACTTCCCCGCCTTGTGAGTACTGAGTGTTTTATGCTTAATTAATTCACTTTTGAATGTTAACATTACGTTATCAACAGCCCCCATATAATGGGTACAAGCGCAGAATCCGCCGCGGAACCTACAACGGCTACCGCAGAGCCCCTCCAGCCCCTCTAGCTCCTCCAGCCAACATGGACAGGACGGAAGCCTCCACAGGTCGCGCCGGCGGCGGACAAAATGTCCGGGCTCAGCCAACAGCAAGTACCTCTAAGGGAATAGTGAGCAATTCAAACTGCCCTGGTGCTATCCCAAAGGCCCCTCGAGCTCTCTCCGCCGTGACACGAGTATCGCCACCAACAGGTGTTCTCTTGGATTTCAACGATGGCGTGGAATGCGTCCAACTGTCACCAAGTGTGGTAGCCAACATGGAAACAGCACAGAAAGCCAATCTCGAGACAAAAGGAAGGGAGCGCTTATCAGGGGGGTCGCTGCTAACAGCAGCGATCAGCCAGCTCCGGGGGTCGAGGTCCGGCTGGACGGTGACGATAAACCCTCCCACAAGACCATTGTCCATGTAGCCCATGCTGCCCCAGCAGATCCAGGCACTCCTGCCAGCAGTCACTGTTCTCCCCCAGCGGTTGAAGGTGTTATCCCAATCTCGTCCCGGTCATATCTGCCAGGTTCGCCCGCATGCGACTCCCCCGAGGACGGCTTACCCCATACATCGCAAACATACCAGCCGGTCAATGGAATCAACGGGAGCGAAAAATGCAATTTCAAGAATTGTGAGGAGTCCCCTGTGCCGATCACCACAGGAGGTGCCACCGAAGGCATGTTGGTTAATCTTGACGACGACCTGGCCGTCATCCTTCCAGCTGGAACTGACGCCGGCACCGACAGCACTATTCATTCAGAAGAAAAGGATGTTCTTGCAGTTGGCCTTGGTTCCGGAGTTGAGCAGAATCATCAATCAGATGATTCGGAAGATGATGAAATTGTTTTCCAGGGAAACGCAGAAAAGGCCCTCCGTCCGGATTTCAAAGCCTTGTTTGTCAGTTCGGACGATGACTCTCAAACCGATGGTCGCCTTATTGATCTCAAAGCGATTTTCGAGAAATATTCTGAGGTAGTCATCTGCAAATGACTGTTTCTGAGCTATTTTCTTTTCTTTTTTCTTTTGCATTTTACATGGATTTCTGCATGAGTTCTCTGGATTTCGTTTCCTTTTTCCCGCACTACCTGAAATGTGAAACGCAAAAAAAAAAAAGGCATATTAGGATGGCCTTGAGGTTCGTCCTTATGATTTTCTAGCAGGACAATTTTCCTTTTGCTCTTGTTTGTTGATTTTAGCATCTTGTGTGCACTGTTCCGAGCGACCTTAGAATATCAAGGTGCTTGTGGGAGGGACATTTCATGATTTCTATGGTTATGATGAATGTCATGTCCTTTGATAAATCTGCACCGTTTCCCTCGGCTCTTCTTACCTGTAACTTATATTTCATAGTAGATTGCCATCAGGTATTCAGGCATTATCCATGTGACTACTCCTGCAAAATTGCTTGATGATAGATTCATGGATAAGTGAGATAGATATACTATCTAGGTGGAGAGGAGCTAAGGTGCTATTTGCACCAGATAGATGATAATTTCGTAAGAGTGAACACGGAAAGGAATTGAAGATGACAAGTGTAGGATTTGTGTTGACAATGCAAATCACGACACCGTCCATCATAAGGGATTATTTATATTTGGCAGTATGGATCAACCGTTCCAATATTAATTCAAGAAATCAGATATAGGAGAGTGGAATGAATTAACTAGATATATTAAGGGAGATATTTGTTATTATTTAACTACGAAGGAGACTAGGAGAATGATGAATCAAACTGAGGATTCTACCGAATATGATGGACCGGACCGTAAGAGAGACCATCTATAAGATCATGAAGTAAATAAGGTGGAAATAATACGAGCCAGCAGCGAAAATACTGTGAGATGACCACCCGAAGCAACATAATATGGACACAGAGAAAAGAAATCTAAGCCTTGTGAAATACATAGAAGCCGAAGACAAAGTATAGACAGTATGCTGAGTGCATTAGATATCAAAACAGCCACCATTGTGACCGGACGGGACTAGCTGGTGTCCTTTTTTTTTAAGCTAGCTCATGGATTGATGGCAATAAATATATCCTATATCTAAAGCACGAAGCATGTGGTTCTCTGTCAATGAGTTCAAATTCTGCAGGCTGGAAAGGCCGATATAAAATGGGTTATGGCAACACCAAGTAGAATAGAGACCTGGGGTAGATAGGAAGAGCATAGTGGCAATGAGAAAAATACAGGAGAACATGATATAATTAAAGTTGGGCTCTTTGTCTTCATCTCAGTGAATGCTCATACATGACCTCAAACGGGTTGAAAGAAGGTCCTTTAAGAAATGTTAGAAAAGGGGTAACAAAGACGGTAGATAAGACACCACAAAATTCATTGTTAGGATGAAGTTGAAAGATAATTTCAGCTTTCAAGACTAGAAATATGTAGATTGTATAGGGGTGATGTATTTAGAGTCATGTAGAAAGAACCCTCTATCTAGAGAGAGAAGATAGCATGGACAACCATACCTTCATCTTTACAGTCGAATAAAATTTTGTGTTTAATTGTAGATACACCAGAAATAGATAGCACCAAGGACCTTAAAATACAGCGAGAAATATCGGTCAAATCAGATGTGCAGCATTATGTCGTAAAAGATAGAAGATAGTCCAAGAACATTGAGTATTAAGGAAAAGAAACAAACACCATGTAACTCGTAGATGCCTTCAGTCTCTGAACTCCGGCCATGCTTGACCTGCCCACGGGCTAGACCCGAAACCACCAAAATGTAAAAGCAAAAATCTGCCTGACGCGAGAATGTAATCCGAAAGTGAAAAGAAAATTTGTCCTGGTAAATTCAAACGCCGAGATCAGATAACGATGGCAAAGTAGAAACTAGAAAATAATGACAGAAAAGATTAGAGAGGCATACATTATGTGCCAATAAATGTACCATGCAACTTGCAGGATCGGGCGTCACGCCAGGCGTCGTCGTGGAGGGGAAAAAAAGGTAACCGGATAGAAACCAGGGGAGGGGTGTGCAACGAAAAGTTCAAGGTTTGTAAGGGTTCATTGTTCATCGAGGAAGCTTCTTGTTCGGGGCGACAGTTTTAAATTCGACTCTCGGTTGGTAGTGGACAGCACCACCGTCCTCAAGCCAGGGTCCGAGATTCTTGCATTGACTGACATCGAAGACCTGGAGTTGATGGCAGCCTTCCGCAACAGCCTCGACGCCCACTCCAGTCACTCGAACACAGCCACGGACCGATAAATGTCGAAGAGAAAGTAGGTGAAGACCGATGCTTCGTAGGGAAGGATCGGAAATTGCGGAACCGCAGAATGCCATGTTGAGATACTTCAAATTTGAGCACTGCAAGGCAAGGACTTCGGTTGCCGTATCTGACAATGCGCAGCAAAAGGTCTGGTGGGGATTAGTAAATAATGATATTTCACATTTGATTTGATGTAGACTCACCAGATCTAATTCCTCCAGGTTCTTGGCCGCAGTAGTTAGATGCACAATGGCGTTGTCCGTCAAATACGTGCAATCCGCTAAGCAAAGCTTTCGCAGGTTGGTGAACTGAGCATTCCCCCAGTATTTGAACCCTTGGTCTGTGATTGTGGTGCAACGAGTCAAATCCATTTCCTCAATCCGACCAGCGGCGTGAGACGCAATGTGATGCATAGATCGATCGGTGACATGTTTGCAGTAAGAGAGAGTGAGTTTCTTCAACTTTGGACAGCCATACACTGAGCATTCTGCTGTCTGGAATGTGGGTTTGATCGATGATTGTTTCTCGCCCATCTTCTGGTCGGCGGGCACTATCCATCCAATGATCCGGGCGAGAAGTGTGTCTCCGACCTTGCGGCAATTGCTCAAGTCTACCTCCTGTATATTTGTAGCTTTGCTGGACATGTCAAGGATGGCAGAGGCCGTGACATCCCACACACTCTTCATCTTCCACGCAGTGGTATTTGGGGCGCAAGTCGCGGCCAATGCCGTGAAGCCTTCGTCGGTGATGTGAAAGCAGTTGTTGATATTGACCGATCGTGCTCGATTGCCGACAAAGGGACAGATGATCTTAACAAGAACGTCATCTGTAATCCTGCGGTTGTAGACGCTCAAATCTAAATCATGAATTACGTCCGCAGATCTGGTCAAGAGCCCTGACCAATGGGACGACACCGCCCTAATGCGAAGAAGGTGGTGGAGCTCAAGGAATTGGAAAATGTTCAGTAGGACACTGTCCGGGAGTAATCCATTCGAGCCGTCGATGCGGGGCCGTTCGGTCTGATATGACTTGGAGAGGCTGGCGATTTCGGGAAGGGCTATGGTTGAGGAACTGGCAGAGCGCGCCTCCGTGGAAGGTGAGCGCTGCTGCTCCCCTGACATCTCCTCAGGAGCTAACGGTGCGAGCGAGCCGCGTCGACTTCGCATCCGGACTTTATCTAGACCAAGGCTGAAGTATGGGTCGGGATCGGAGGGCCGTAACACTTCCTGGTCTTGGTCTTCAACGTGCGAGGACTGATGCGGTCCATCCAGTTCAGTTTCAGTGAGGGTAAGTAGTGGCATTGACCGTCGCCGGGACGATGAGATTTTGACTTTGTCGTCCAGGGCGAGATCACCAATAGATGGTTGTGGGTCCTCATCAGACATGACAACATCGCCATCGGCTGCCGCCTGGAGCCTTGCTTGGGCAGTGTGTTGAACTTGTTCCCGCACGTCACTGGGGCATTTCTCCCAGAATTCACCAAGGACGTCACCGCCGAGCATCAAACATTCAACTGAAGTCACAGATCGAACTGTAGCGGTTCTACGAGGTGCTAAATCTAGGCTGACCACCTCACCGAAGTACTGGCCTTGCTTCAACCTTGCTTTGACCTCAATTCCCGGCCGTTCAATGTTCCCATTTGGGCTGTTTTTGTTTGCCGATGAGTGTTCCATCTCCGCCTTTTCTGTAAGAACCTCCACCTCACCGCGAACAATGAAATAGAGCTCACGGCCCTGAGAATTTTGTTGGATAATGTCGGTAAATGGAGGGAAAGATCGCGGTTGGGCATTGAGACCAAGATAGTGGAGGATGTCGGCAGGCAAACCAGAAAAAAGCGGCAGCTCTTTAAGCAAGAGACGTACGTTGACCAATCCATTTGCTAATGCACTAGAGCCATCCCGCCGACCGGGACTCGGTGACTTCCTCTTCTTGTACACAGACTTGGCGCTCAAGTCCCCATCATCATCTGCAACAGCTAGATCCTTTGAAAAGCTCTCACGCAGTCTTTTTGAGCCTCTTCTTGCCGGGCTAGGCAGGTCTAGTGCAGGCGCGGAGGTTTCTTTCTTCTTTTTTTCTAAAATCATCAACCGCTCCTCTGCCTCCTCGCGGATCGCCTGTTCAACCTCCGGGAACCGAGGCAATATATTCCGAAAGTCGTCTTTTGTCAGCACGACCAGCATGCATCGAGTCCGGGCGATAATGGTCGCAGTGCGAGGACGGTCCATGAGCAATCCAATCTCCCCGAAGAACGCACCCGGCTTGAGTTCGGCATATATACTCTCGCCATCCCGAGATGTGACCGATACGGCACCCCGCACTAGCCAGTATATTGCCTTTGCCTCATCGCCTTCTGTCAAGATATAATCGTTGGGTGCGTGGAGCTGTGGGCGCAGGTGCTGTCCGACCTCGATCAAAAAGGATTCCGGAGTAGCTTGGAATAGAGGGAAGGACCGCAACCGATCCACCAGCTCCAAGGGCAAAGCTTGGATGTGGGAGGAGGCCAAGGGCGAAGGGCGCACGGGTCGGTTTGGGTTCATGACGGAATCGAAGGAGCGTATGAGGGATACAGTGTCGGACAAGGGCGAGACGGCCTTGGTTGGACCGCCACTGGACCTGCCATGGCGACGCATTGTGATCTAGGTATTCTGAATGAGGAGGTGGGATGGATTCAATTATTTCTCTTAGGCATAAAAGAGGTCAATAAATCGATGACGTCGACGAAAGTAGCGTCGAACTTCGCATCGGCATCTTCAGCGCCCAATTGCTATCGCGGAGTTTAACGGACAGACATGAATGTAGGGTATAGAGGAGAAGCAAAGATTTGGAGGAAAAAAGGTCACGACAAGGCCGAGCTAAGGTCTTGAGGTGGGGGGGTTTCCCGACTCAGCGACGTCAAATGCGGTTTCTCCACCGATCACCTGGGAGGGAGCCTTCGGAAACTCTATGAGAACCTCCACCTTGAGATTTTTAAGACGTTGAAATATTCTAATATCTTCTATATCAATATCAATATCAATAATGTAGATCGATATAGATGTACATCGGTCTTGATGTTCTTTTTTTTTTCTCTTTTTTTTTTTTTTTTAGTGAGGGACGTCAGCACTGAGCGGTCAATCATCATCCTTTGAACCTGCAGCGTCCGGGCCGATCTCCTCTGCCCTTTTGGCTTATCCCCGGAAACAAAGAAAAACTTCAGATAGGAAATATACGGCGTAGGATTCCTTGTCAGGGTCTCGAATCGACCAGTTCACTTATCTTTGTGCCGTGGTAGCCATCAGACTTATCTTCACCTTGTATTACTTTGCAGGGTTGGGTACCCACTCAATAATCCTTACATTAGTTGCTTAACTTGGCTAACTTGGTGAACTTGGTGAACTTGTTTAATTTGTTTATAAAACCTGACAAGATTCTAGTCCAAATGCGATCTAGTAACGCCACAATCACATTGGTAATCAATCCGCTTGAGGCATGATCATACTACAACACAGAATCCGGCGACGGGTCACGTGTCCCAATATAGCAAAAATGTTCATCTTGTTTGATGTTAATTGGACAAGTGGGTATCAAAGAAAATGCAAATAATATACAAGTAACCAAGAATGTGGTGTGAGTGTTGCTGCCGAAGAACACGATCAGATGGATAAAGGCCGGGGTGGTCACCAGACTAAATATCTCAGAATGGTTCGATGAAGGGCTAGACATTACTAGTAATTGGGGCGGCATTGACTCGGATATATGGGCTCATCTCGCCGGCGTCGGATCCATACTGCCTGTAGCAGCATACATCACAGCCATTTCTCGATCGAAGGAAGCGCGTCCTAGCAATGGGAGAGCCTATATATAGTATTGGTTGCCAACATTGGGGACCTCTCAAGCTTGCAGCGAGATTGGGACATCCACACACAGGATAATCAAAGGAGCCATTGTGATATGGGCCCACCTATGATCAGATTGATCCTTCTTTCTCGACCTTAGACCGACGGTTACCGAGGAAGAAGTCAACGTAGGCAGGGTGGTTTCCTTTCAAAGTCTCCAGCGCATCTTGCAAAAGACCATAGGTCAAGCTCAATTTCAACCCAAGCTTCGCTGTGCGGGCGGCGGTATAAACATCGTGACGAGCTATGTGGGTGAGCTAAGTCAGCTTCTGTTCCCCCAGTAATATTGTCCAAGCGGAATAGTTTCCTTACCAAGCAAGCTGTATATTCCGGAGAATGACAGCCCAGCAGTAACTGTTGATAAAAAGTCTCTCTCGTCATGCCGAGCGTAGTCTACTGTTTCCTCGAAGAGACAAAATGCAAGTGCGCCAGCACCGAGCTTGAATCCCATCTTCATGCCATCTTTGACGCCTCCAACCACACCAATATAGTTTTTCGTTTTATGATACTGGAACCACCCTGTCGATGTTGTGGGGAAACGATGCGCGTTCTCGGCCCGAAACACAAGCCCTGCCTTTTTGCTGCCGTGATAGTATCCTAGTGCTAGCCCAGTCGACAAAGCGGACATGGTAGCATACGGTAACCGCTTGCCGAACTCAATGCCTAATCGTGGAGGGCTGTCGGATTCAAACAGCTTGTCCCAATGGACGATCTTGAGGACGATGGAATCGTGATGCGAGTTGGTAGATGGGGGCCGATTGGTCTCCATGGTAAAGCTTTTAAAAGAAGAATTAGGGCACTAACAGCAATTTCAAGGGTTGGCTGTAGAGAACGTGGTGAATGTAAGCAACTGATGCTGGAGGCAAAGCTCAGAAATTCGGAGCGCGGAAGGCGGAGTCCCGCCAGATTCTCCGCTTTCCGTCTCTCTCTCAAATCAATTATCGCAACGCGACCAACCCTTTAATTCCCCCACAATATCTAAGATGGTATGTGAATCGGCCTTTTCAAATAAAGATTTATCTAACAGTGTGGCTAATTACCGAGCAGCCGCCTAAGCAATCCAAAACAGACTCGCGCTCTGTGACCCTCCTGTTCAAGAAGCATAAGACAACTGTGCTTCTGATGCCCCCACCACACGAACCACTCAACTTCACCAAAGAAAGGCTTCTGGATGCCCTGAAATCGCGAAAAGTTACCGAGATAAATGGCGACATTGTTCCTGATGACTCCGACAGCATTGAGTTCGGTGAGCCTGTCGACCGAGCGGACCTCGAGAAAGGCTGGAAGCGCCTCAAGTCACAGAATGGGTCAGTAACTGTAATGGAGGCGGGTTTGCAGAACGGACGTCCAGTTGCCTTCCGCTTTCACAAATCCACCGAAGGCCAAGATGGCGGTGTTGATATGGACCTTGATGATGAGGATCCAGGCTGGGATGTTGTCATGCCGACCTACAATGATGAGCCACAGGAAGAGTCGATGCCATAATGAATTATGATTTGAGAAAGGTCTAGGTCAGAGGATACAAGTCTGTGGCTTTCGGCGTTTCAAGGGTAGGACTGCAGTTATGAGAACCGAAATATGGCGTTTGTTCAGGCGGGAAAAAATGGTATTAGGACAAGAGCAATACCAAAAGCGATCTTTCTCGTTTATATGTAGCATGTTTAACTCTAGAGCAAGTATACACGCATTATGGTAAAAACAACTGGCGTTGATGCTCACTGTGAGTAATTTTGGGGGAGATTTTACAGTCATGGTGACATAATACGTCCAATATCATGATCAGCCATTGTAGCTGTTGTTTAAGCATCCTGAACTACCTAGATACCTAGGTAACTAGTTATGCAAAGCCTAATAACTACAGTTTGGCGGGGCAGGCGATCTTCGATATAGAAAGATAATGTGTGTGAATAGAGCAAGTGGGGCGTGTACAATACTTGAGAACATACAACATATTATGGAATTGCGAATATTTAGTACTCAGGGATTTTATTGCCACGCGTAAACAATCAAACACCACTATAAAACGGTTGCTCGGAGCAACCACTAGATGACAACACGTACACGCATCAACAAATGAAATCGCTTCAAGGAGCCCCCCCTCGGAGAATACCTGCACTCCCTACCCCATACGTTAGATCCATTCTTCGACTCTTTTACATTCCTTATTTTCGACGCCAAATAGCTAAGCTTCCCCCTTGGCCTTGCCATTGTAGGGTGTCGCCAACTGCCTGACGTACCGGCCCCGCAAAACACTTGACGACCTTGGGGTTGATCCGACCCGACCTTCCAACATGGCTGCCTCCGACGGCGCTTCCTCTATCAGCGTTGCAGTCAGAGTCCGTCCTTTTACTATCAGGGAGGCAGCCCAGGTCACACGATGTGACGAGGGTCCCCTGTTCCTCGGCGATGGTTCCCTCGCGGGCGCGCCGACACCGAAGCTTAACCAGAAAGGCATACGATCTATCGTCAAAGTGATTGACGACCGCTGCTTGTAAGTATTCCGTGCACTTTGAATGTTGGGTCCAACATCCTAACTGGACTAGGGTGTTTGACCCCCCAGAGGACAATCCTGTCCAAAAGTTCTCCAGGAGCGTGGTGCCAAATGGTAAGCGTGTTAAGGACCAGACCTTCGCCTTCGATCGCATCTTCGACCAAAACGCTTCCCAGGGAGAGGTATACGAATCTACAACACGAAGCCTGCTCGACAATGTACTCGATGGATACAATGCGACGGTATTTGCGTATGGAGCTACTGGATGTGGAAAGACCCATACAATCACCGGAACTGCCCAACAGCCCGGTATCATCTTTCTCACTATGCAGGAGCTGTTTGAGCGGATTGACGAACGCGCAAGCGAAAAATCGACCGAAATTTCTCTATCCTACCTCGAGATCTATAACGAAACCATTCGTGACTTGCTTGTTCCTAGTGGTAGCAGTGGAAAGGGTGGATTGATGCTGCGGGAGGATTCCAACCAATCAGTCTCAGTTGCTGGGCTGTCAAGTTACCACCCGCAGAATGTGGGGGAGGTAATGGACATGATCATGCAAGGAAATGAGCGCCGCACCATGTCTCCTACGGCAGCAAATGCTACTTCATCCCGATCGCATGCCGTCCTTCAAATCAACGTCGCGCAAAAAGATCGAAACGCGGACGTCAATGAGCCTCACACCATGGCCACTTTCAGTATCATTGATCTAGCGGGAAGTGAGCGTGCCAGCGCGACACTGAACAGAGGAGAACGTTTGTTCGAAGGTGCCAATATCAACAAGTCTCTATTGTCCCTAGGAAGCTGCATCAATGCACTATGCGACCCACGAAAGCGCAACCACATCCCTTACCGAAACTCGAAGCTCACTCGATTACTTAAGTTTGCCCTTGGTGGCAATTGCAAGACAGTCATGATTGTCTGCGTCAGCCCCTCAAGTCATCACTTTGATGAGACCCAAAATACCCTTCGATATGCGAATCGAGCGAAAAATATCCAGACCAAGGTCACACGGAATGTGTTCAATGTGAATCGACACGTGAAGGACTTCTTGGTCAAGATCGATGAGCAAATGAATTTGATCAATGAGCTTAAATCACAGGCAAAGGACTATGAAAAGGTGGCCTTTACCAAGTTCCGCAAGCAGGGCGAGAAGAAAGACGCTGTTTTGCGCGAGGGTGTGGCCCGGATTCGCAATGCTTACGAACACACGTTGCCCGAGAGGCAAGAGAAGACCAACAACATGCTGAAACTAAGGCAAATTGGCCGCAGAATTGGCATTTTGTCGTCCTGGATTGCGGCCTTTGATAACGTTTGCGCCGCGCGTGAAAACGAGGAGGGATTATCGAACCTATACGCCGTTCGCAAATCTGCACAGGGAATCCTCTTTGAGCTGGAAGGTAGCAGACATCATTACAACCAGAAACTATCAAAAAGCACCTGGGATCGACCGGTGAATTCGGCGGTCGAGAATGCTGCAAAGCAGCTTCAAGAATTTGACATTACCGATAACAGTGACTACGCCAATTTGAACCGAGAAGCGGATCTTCTTCGGTCCAATGCAGAGCGCGAAGCATTGACAGCTGTGATAGAACAGGACAAGGCTGGAGAAGCTGCTGCTGTACAGCTTCTGTTGCAAGCACAGTTTGAGATGATGAACTCGATCGAGGATATCATGCAGCTAAACGCAAACGAGGCTATTAAAAAGGGGCGGACCATCCTGACAAAGATGTTAGAGGATTGTGCAGATACAGCAACCAACCTCGTCAAACCAGATGGCAGCATGTCGTCTGTACCGAACATTGGCTCTACCCGGCCTGCAAGCCCCACGAAAACAAAGAAGCGCTTCAGCCTAGTGAGCTTGCCACCAGTATCGACTGCCAACCCTCCAGTTACACTCACCCCTGCTCCTCCTGTTTCACCAACCAAGGGCTCTCCACGTCGCCGTAAAGGCACTGCCGGTCGAAAGAGTGTCAGCTTTACGCCAAAGAAAGCCCAGGTGAAGATTCCCAAACGATCTGTCCGATGGAAGGACGATGAGGAAGACGGCACTTTGACCGAATTCCAAAAGACCCCCAAGAAGGTCGACTCTGCCGATGATTCCAGCTTTGAAGAGTCATGGTTGCCACCTCGATCGGGATCTCCCATTCCACGAAATATTCCGAGGGTTATAAGCCCGTCGGGTTCTATATCTTCTACCCCTGACGAGCCCGAACCCGCTGGGCCTACCTTGAACATTCAAAAGAACAACAGTCGCTTCAAGGCAGGGTTTTTAACTAAGAGAAACAACAGCTCACCATTGGCACCACCACCTTCATCCAGCCTTCCTCTTTCAAGAAGAGACAGCTCCCCTCTCCGTGATATTGAAGGAAGCAGCTTTATGAACCGCCCCTCGACGGACCGCCCATCCCGGATCGCTGTTCGTAGTCCCAGCGGGAACTTCTCGAGCAGTCCAGTATCTGAAAACAAGGACAGCTGGAAGTCGGACAAGGAAGAAGCTATTAAGATCAATTCGGCCATGCGACGCATGTCTAGTGGGCGGATTGCTAGTGGACAGTTCAACGCTCCATCGTCCAATACTCTACGAGTTCACCGTCGTCGCAGCCCGACTTCCAATACTTATGGGGCCCCGCCAGCAGACAACCACATGTTCACCGCATCGCAAGCTCGGCGCATGGTCAAGAGTGAGAGAGAGCACGATGCCAAGCCTCGGGTCTTGAGTCCTCATACTCTCCCAGTCATGAAGAACACAGGACGTCGCACAACATTGGGTGGAGACGGTCGACCTCGAAATATGAGCCTATCTAGCAGAGATGCTATTCGTCTCAGTGCGATGGCAGCGCCCCTGCTGAACACAACTCCCAAGCGTGGTAATGGGGCTCTGGCGAATGAGTTGGAATCCTGGATTTGATTTTTTGAGTCTTGAATTGTTTAATTGGTATTGGCGTTTTGTTGGCGTAGCAGATACCACTTTTTTTTTTTTGTACATTTGTACGACGGAATTCCTACTGAATTTTAGCCTGTCATTTCTGTCTGTTGCATTGATGTTCAGCTGGCAGCTTTTGTACAATAACCATAACCATCAGATAGGGTTAGCCGGAAGCCCTAATCTTTTTCAATGCCGAACCTTGGAATTCCCCGAATGACGCCATCGCCAGAGTCCAATTCTTGAGCTCCCCTTACATTTCTTCTCCATTTTCTTCTCGACTTCTTCTTATTCTTTTCCTACATCTATAATCTTCATACTGCTCCATTTCTATCATTGCTACAGCACCCTGTGCGGCCTTTTTCACTTCCGAACCCACGACCATCCCCACTTATCAAGTACGTCTCCACCATCGCCAGAATTTCTGCGGATGACTTTCGCCGCTCCGGTTGCCTCAACCCTTTTCTCACGCTTTTTCCGTTCCTTCTCCACCAGCTCGGCTTTTTCCTTGACGCCAGAAACACAATCACGCAAAATGTCAGACACACAAACCGCGACCGTCGCAGCCGGCTGCTTCTGGGGCGTTGAGCACCTGTACCGCAAGAATTTCGGCAATGGCAAAGGCCTCCTCGATGCCAAGGTGGGCTACTGCGGTGGCGCCGTTTCGTCGCCATCGTACCAAGCTGTTTGCTCTGGTTCAACTGGACGTAAGTGCTGTGCTATCTGAGACCCAAAAAAACCCGCGGTTCCTCATCGCGATCGCATCTTCAAATACTTATTTTGTTTGTCTTTTCTGCTCTCACAGATGCCGAGGCTCTCCGCATAGTCTTTGATCCTTCAATTGTGACCTACCCCCAGCTTCTCGAATTTTTCTACCGCATGCACGACCCCACAACAGAAAACCGGCAGGGTCCGGATGTTGGTACACAATACCGCAGTGCGATCTTTACGCACGGGGATGAGCAGCATAAGATCGCGGAGCAGATTACAGAAAAAGTCAGCAAGGAATGGTATAAGACGTCACTTTCTACCAAGGTCCTACCGGCAGGTCAGTGGTGGGATGCGGAGGAATATCACCAGCTCTATCTTCAGAATAACCCTGCTGGATATGAGTGTCCTGCTCAGTATGTGTCCCTATCCTTCCGGTTTCATTTGATCAGGTTGCTAACTTCTTGCTTGTAGCTTTATCCGACCTTTCCCTCCTCTGTCGGATTGACTAGATTCCAAATTGTAATTTATTTTAGCCCATGCCTTCATGATGTGTACCCGAAGAAGACTGAATACAAAAGTCAATATCCATACTATGGAACTTTGCGCTTGGACGTGGTCTCTCTTTGAATCCGGGTGTAGTGCCCAAGGTCGCCTATGGGTGATCTCTATTCTATAGGACCAGGGTCATTCTTTCCTTTTTGCGCTCCGTACTATTTTGTTGGCCAAAATACACTCCATTCTTTGCGTCTAAACCCCGGTCTGGGAATACTATTGCTAAGCTAGTAGACCATAGGAGAGTCACGAGTCCGACCCATTCTTTCATTGCTCATGTACATTATTGGATGACCTCGGGAGTGTGCAATAAATAGGACGAGCAGAATTGGGTCACACTCGCGATTGCCGCACATTCCTTTTCGCTGAACTATTGGATTGGCTATTTATGCTCTCAAAGACACTCAGCAAACAGTATCAACCGGAACCAGACCACTGCTCTGCCGAGTATATTACCCCCGGAGCGTGACCTGACCTCTTGAGCTAATCGATGAGCCGAGCTGACCCCACCTTATCTTATCTAATCTTATCACGCACCCCGGTCAGCCTCGGTCTCAACCCTCGAGCACTTCCCAACAGAGCTGTCTCTTCCAACTCCCTGGCTTTGTCTGCTCTCGCTAGTCGCTCTCTCTATTGTTCCCAGCATTAGTTCAGATAGTCAATATTGTATCACAACATCTTTCCCAGTCTTTGACGAACTTGCTTATTCCAGGGGTGACTTCCCGCAATCGCAACCATGGCTCTGTACAACCAAACAGTGGATTTCCTCTCGGGTGCCTTCTCAAACAAACAGACTCAACTCCCCTTACTAGCAGTTACTGGGGCTTCATTCACACTTGGTCTACTCGCTCGATCTGTTTTCCCTCGAGGCGAATCGCTCCAGACCGTTCTCGCCTCACCTCGAACGACAGTGTTACCCGGCATATCCGAGTCGGAGAATCGCCAACTGCCTCTCCCGCCTGATGTTCTGCCCGGTGCTCGTGATGTCGCTAGCCCGTATGGGTCGATCCGAGTGTATGAATGGGGCCCGGAAGATGGACCCAAAGTGTTGTTCGTGCATGGTATCACCACGCCGTGTATTTCGCTCGGCGGGGTGGCCCATGCGCTGGTGGATCGCGGCTGCCGCGTGATGCTATTTGACTTGTAGGCGTTGCACAACATTCAACACCTCGACTTTTCGTTAACCCATGATATTAGGTTCGGAAGAGGATATTCCGACTGCCCTGTTGATCTTCCACAAGATAATCGCCTCTTCTCGACACAGATCTTGCTCGCTCTGGCATCATCGCCTATCGCTTGGACAGGTGTAGAGTCTGGCAAATTCTGTCTTACTGGGTACTCCCTGGGAGGCGGCATCGCCGCTGCCTTTGCATCGTACTTTCCTCACCTTATGTCGTCACTGGTGCTCCTAGCCCCTTCGGGCTTGCTCCGCGATTCGCAAATCAGTTTCCAGAGTCGACTCCTTTACTCAAAGGGTCTTATGCCTGAGAATATCCTAACAACCTTGGTTAGCCGTCGACTGAGGGCAGGTCCCTTGGTCACGCCCAGGCCCAAGAACAAGAAGCTCAATGCCGCGGATGTACTCACCGAGGAACTGCCTTCCCAAAGCGCTGCGGCAGCCCAAGTTCTGTCCCGAGAATACCCTCACATCAACATCCCGTCTACCGTGGCATGGCAGGTGAATAATCATATAGGGTTTGTCCACGCATTCATGTCTAGCATGCGTTATGGTCCGATCCTACAAGAGCGTCAATGGAACAGATGGGCGCGTCTTGGCGAGTATTTAACTGCACAGAACGGTGCCTCAAGCAACGAAAATAAGAGGCCAGAAGAGAACAAAGTCCACATTCTGTGTGGCAACAACGATCCAATCATTGTCAAAAGTCAGCTTGTTCCAGATGCCACGGCTGCCCTGGGTGGCAATGCCGTCTTCAAGTTCTACGAAGCGGGACATGAGTTCCCCAGTACCAAGTATGAGGAAGTAGCATCTTATATCTTCGAGTTACTATAAACACGGGGTTCTACGGAATCTACTATTGAGGGGGAAGTTTGGGATATATCCATGTTCATTGGACACTCGTTTGGGTTCCATTTGATATATACAATATACATAGAAGTTTGTGTTGGTTTATTCATTTTTTTTTCTTATTCGTTTGCTTTAGTTTCCTAACTTCCAGTCTTCAGGATCTCCTCCATGGCATTGAGTTGACTTGATAGCCCTGTGAGGTGTGCCGATCTCTCTGGCATCCGCGCACCGGCAAAGTAAGGACCCTCGGAGGCTGGTGCTCGTGCAAATCGGTCCACACTGCTGCGGTTGCTTCCCGGCACTTGGCTGACGTTGCCTTGGCTTACGGCGTTGGTACTGTTGCCGTTGGTAGCACTACGGGAAGATCTGGTTAGTTGGCTGATAGAAAGATCCATTTGAATATACATCCACTCACGTTGTGGTTCTTGGTTCCGGAATAGACATAGTGTGTGGATGATTGTTTATGATAGATGTGAGGTTCTCACAGGCGGTTCAGAGGAATCAAAAACTCGAGTCACCGGGATAGGGCCCAGTAGAAAGAAGGAAGGTTTGGGGGTAGTGTGATGTTCAAGAGCGAAGTATGTGCTTGGCTTTGATCGGTATGTTTAGAAATGAGCCGTGGTGACGAGGAATTGCTGAGTTGCTTGAGTTGATGATGTCCAGAATACCACTGAGCGGGAGCTCCTATATATACACTGCAGGTCTGACGCTATGCATGGGGACGGCATGCCTTTGGGGCCGAACACGCGAGCTTGAGCTTCGCATCACAGCCCACATGGACAGTACGAGACTACGCAAAGAAGGAAACGAGGAAAAGATCATCATCGAGTGCATGAACTCCACCAGCCATGGGCCTGTGATGGCATCTCGACCCTTGAGCTCAACGTTCGCCAAGACTCAGTCTGCATGAACCATGCCAGTTCCGGTATTCGTTTAGCGTGAAACCGCGAGGGTCCGTAGCAAAAAAAAAAAGCACATACCCGTTCGGCTCATCTATGCAAAACAAGCGACATGTCCGTTGTTATTGGCCGATCTGCAGGTAACCGGGGCTAGGAGGCAGGTACCAGCCGCATAAGGATGCGTGGACTAAGACCCACAACTGTACGATCCATCCTGAGCGTAGATACAGCATTCTTGCTAAGCACATGGCCAACCACATGTTTCAGGTTTAGGAATATCCAGACTCCCGAAATACGTGGAATGAAGCGAGGGGGGTGGATATCAATTCGAGTTTCAAACTGGATCTTCGACTGAGCTATCAAACAAGGGACAAGAGTCACGATCTCCATTTTGAAAAGAGATTAACCTCATTTTTTTTCATTTTTCTCCACTAAGGGTCTATAACCCGTTGAAACAAACAAATCCCGAACCCATCCTTGGCGGCAAAAGCGCTTCGCAATGGGCCGACATCTTCGCGTGGGATGACTACGACGTAAACCTCCAGGGTGAAACAATGTCGGGGGGCTAACGTGGTCGATCACATGGTCATGTAATGAACCAGGGGCTTAGCTCTAAGAGGTCAGAAAGAGAAAATAAAATAACACAAAAGCTCGCCATGCTACATTCCCCGGCCCACGCGCGCCTGCTGCATGTTTCCTTCATTTCCCTTTCTTGACATCCACAATGCAGATCATTCAACGGCGAAGAGTCTCGATTAGGGCACGCCACTCTCGGCGCAAGATACTTTGATAGTAAAGGGTTCCATACCAGTCATGCCTTACCAGAGTTAAGCCCTAAGGGTCATTTTGTATCATGACTTCAAATACAGGAATGCTAAGATACTGCATAACGGCCGGAGATCACCGAAGTGCGAGTGACTTATTTTTGAAAACTCCAAATTACATGCCTAAGAAAAGGGGCACATAGATTGCCTTGTTACAGCCGATTATGACGAGTCCAAAGGGTGGAACAACTTAGGAAGTAAAGTAAAGCTTCAGTAATAGCAATTTGCTTTCGAGTAGTACCGAGTCCTAGACCCATTCGCTGATCAACGGGATCAATCCTCTAAAAGGCGTTTATTTCCGAGATAGGGCAACGAGCTTGGAGGTTCTGGCTAAAGGCTACCAAGTGCGCTGATGCTGATCTCTATGTTGTAATGAAGCATCGTCGGAAATAACGGATTTCCGCTATGCCTTACGGACCGAGGGCAGTGGACCGTACCGCGTACACTAAATATATGCAGATATATACGGAGTACGCATGATTGCCTTTCCTTTTTTTCAGTTTTCGGCTACCTCCCAAGCCACAATGGCCATATGGAAAACCAGTGTTTCAAAATAATAAGGTTGCTTTTCCCACGCGTATCCAAATGGGTTCATTCCCCCCTTAGCAATGTTTAACGAGGTCTCCCGTTAGTATATGCAAGGCACCTTTGGCGGAATCCAAGCAACCTTATCTCCATACGCTACTTCGTCGATCACTTGGTTCGCTAAGCCCCGAACCCCTAAAGCCGGTCATCTGAGGTGAGCAGGGTCTGGTGTGGTACGACATATACGATGGCGTTGTATGTTTGTAGTTCGTGATGTGCTCTCAACCCCACAACGATATCAGCCCTGGAGAACTTTTGAATCATGAACTCATTCTCTTTTTCTTTATTTTTAGACTGAAACTCAGCCCCTGAAGCTTACAGAAACTCAATAGGAACCCCCTTCTCCTCTCCTTGATTTTACGTATCATAAAAAAGAGAAAGAAACTTGTCCAAAAAATCATCCAAGGGGGAAATATTGACAAGGTTGACCAAAAGAGGAAGGGATCATCTATACAACTTCCATTTTGGGAATATTTAAGGCAATTTGCCAATCACCAGTTCACCAGTCTGAAACGCATCTCAATAGTTCAACCTCATCCACAGTGGAGTCCGGTATAGATGCCGAAGGTCCAGCTGGTCCAGCTGTAGTTTGTTACCATCGCAACCTATGCTCCTAACACAGCCATACCACGAAATTTAACGGCGATTCTGCTCCGAAATCAATGACCGATGTTAGCTGAAAACGTATTCTTTTTTTTTTCTTTTTTTTTCTCTTCTCACAGGCGTGAACGTGGTCTATGCACCCGGCTTATTTTATGCAACAGCTCTGCCTTTGCCGGTAAGGCACCTTATCAAACTGCAAACCTCGGTCATATCTCCTCGGATCTCGGCTGCAAACGAGGAACCTTTCTCGGAATCGGATCACTTGCAGATTTCGTCTTGGTCCAGCTGATAAGTCTACTCTAGACCTTAGAATGACATCGTCGAGATGTGTAATAAACGAGGATCGTAATATGCTCAGCCTTGGCTAACACGCATGCATTTTGATATTAGCATGAATCAAGGGATGACGACATAGCCACATCCCTAGAGTGCCCTTGGACTGAGGAATTCATTTCTTTACTTTTATTTTAGCAACTAGAGTTGAAAAAAAAAAAGAAAAGAAAAGAAAGGGTGTCAATCCAATCCTGACACTGCTCAACCAGGCAAAAACATGGATCACATCACCACAACACATCTTGAAACATATGCCACGGAAATCAGATATGGGGAATTGATGACAACCAATCCACAGTGATATAAGAACCAGCAGGTAATGCCCGGAGGGATATAAACATCAGGATGACACTTCCCCAGCGTGTAGTGGCATAACAGCAAAACCACACCAATATGAAAAATAGGTCCGATGGCTTTGACCAACCAGCAGTTGAGACACGCTCCTCCTTGTCATCTAATGTACGCCGGAGCCAATAGAACGACCAAAGGTATTTCAAGTACAGAGGCCAGGTGATGAAGAGTGCAACTAGCGAGAATACTCGCCATACTATCTGCTCCTCCCGTGTTGGGAAGATGGAGTTCCATCTACGTATTTCGATTATCAGCTTTGTCCAGTATTGAGAAGAGGATGGATGGGTATAATAAATAGTTAGTACGTACGCAGCAACATGTATCCCGCAAAATACCAGCGCAGCAAACATGTAGAAATGAGCGATATTGGTCCATTCCGTGATCGTCAACTTTTCGTCGTCTTCCACTGAAATCCTCATTTCTTGTGGCTTGGATTCTAGCTCGGTTTCCTCGTGGGTTTCCTGTTGGGATTCCAAGTCACGGTGGTCATTTCTGCTGGTTTCAGAAGACTCCATCAGTGGTTCTTTTCCTTGGAAAGTATCCTTTACAGCCAATATTCCGTCAACTTTTGGCTCATTTCTCGGCTGTTGGGACCCTGGTGCTGCTGTGACACCATGAGAAATTTCCTCATCCTGATGGTCACCATTTATATTGACTGGTTCTGATTCGGGCTCATCGCAACCTTCTTTGTCTATATGGCTACCATGGTTGGCATGAGATGCTTTTTCAATCTGCCGGGGACTTTCCTCGTCTTGATGGTCACCATTGCGGGCAGCAGAGGGCTCGGCTGTCGCATCTCGGATTATGACTTCCAGCTTTTCTTTCAGCTCTTCCCATTTCCTATTCCACGACCAAGGTGCGAATAGGACTGATATCATTCTAAGTTGGAAATGAAAAGTTGCGACAATGATTTGCCATACCGGAGATCCAGTGTCTCTAGCGATATCGTCCGAGTGGACCCAGTCCCCAACTTCTGCGTCTAGGATATCTCTGACTTGAGACGGTAGACTCTCGGAATCGCGATCGTATGGTAGATAAATCGTGATAGGCGTTACCATATCTTTCGGTTTATTCCACCAGATTAGATAGGTAGCGGCGGCACAAGAGATATAAGCCACCGTAGCAATTTCGAGAGCTGTAATGGGCATGTTGTATGCTCTTCTGGCAATAACGTTGCAAGTCACCCAGAAGGCTTGGAGCAGAGTAAATCCTTTTGCAAAGGGGTCAGCTTTAGCGCGGTCTTGGATGTCACTAGTCCTCAAATGGGATGGCTTGATAACGCGTGTTTCGATCAGGGCGACAACGTTGCTACAGTGCACTGGGTATGTCCAATCATCCTTAGTCTGGAGAAGAACACCATGCATACCAAGACAAAAGCCCTGGACAGTGCCCCAGCGACCATCAAATTCTTCCATGTCTGGTGTTTCTGAGACTTGCGAAGAGCTTGTGTCATCTCCCTCCGTCTCTGGTGTTTCTGGAACTTCAACTTCCGAGGGGCTTGTGTCATCTCCTTCGCTGTTTATTATGCGGAAAGCAGCATTACAGCGTGCCACAGCAGACCTTGCCTGCCATAATTCTTCGGCTGCAGTTCCAGCCATAAACTCCGGCGCAAGTATCGTGCCTATCCATGCCAGTGCCTTCAGCCAAAGATTTTCTGTCTGTGTTTGAGCACGGGTTGGGACAGAAATGTGTAGAGCCGTCCATGTGCAAGCAAGGATTGTTGAAACACAAGTCCAGAAAATGTCCCAACTTGAGCGTGTATTGTCATCCAACTGCCAGCCTTCCAGGGCTGTTGAATTGGACTGGGCGAGTGATGGGTTGACACAGCCAAGCAAGAGTAGAAGCGCGAACATGACGTGTGCCTGGATTTGGCGATCAAAGATGCAGAAGATTTAAGAAGCTGAGAAAACAGAATGGGGTTTAGCTCGACAACTCAGCCACACGATGTGGGATAGTGAAAAGGAGGCGGGGCCTTTCCTTAGGGTTGGTTTAGGTGGTGGATCTCACTCCTTATGTCTTGAGCTATAATTCCCATGTTTTCCAAATATAGTCGGAATAACATTGGAGATAGAACTACAGTAAGGAATTTTTAGAAACAGATAATGTCTGGCCCAAGGCCTGAACGTAAGATTTTTGGATATGTACGATAGCCACCCGAAGCGCCGATGCACCGAATGCAGTATTTAAGGAAATCTCGCTTCAAAACATTTGAAAATAGAAACACGAAAGGAAAAGAAAAAAAAAAAGAAAGAGAGAAATTGAGTCCAAATCCTCACAACTGTCGTCGAGTATGGTCATAGCTGGTGGGGAAGAGCGGCAGCGAAGGATCCACAACATCATTATATGGTCTTCTGGCTGCCATTGATACATCTTCATCACTGGGCGGGGCAGTGGCCACGCGCGCGGGATGGTGGTGGCCTTCTGCATCCTCCTCGCCTCTTGCGATCTTCTCAAGGGACGACAACTCGGTGGTTGTTCCGGTACGAGACCAGCGGAAAGAGTCCCGGTCGTCGCCAAGAGGCTTGTACTTGGTGTCGGGCTTCTTGAAGAAAATGGCGTAAACCATACCAACCAAAAGGTAGATCAGGAGCACAAGAGTGAATATCGCATTCACGAGGAAGAAGATTACTCCCAGGATGCCAGTCATGAGTTCAGGCTGGTCAAAAACATCCGTGAAGACAAGTAGGAAGATCGTATTGAGGGAATTGATTACTGCCATCGTGATTGCAGTGACATTTGCTCCCTTGCTCATGAATGGCTTGATGATGGCGGTTGCGAGCATCATGGAAAGTTCCAAAATAAGAAGAACGATCGATTGTGCGACCGGTGAAGGCTGAGCGAAGGCGATGACCATTCCTTTAACAACGACGTAGACCAAAGCTGGCACAAGGAAGTAGTAGACCGGGGCGCGGTAGTAGATATACAAGAAACCCCACTGGTTCAGAGTGGCAGGGTCGGAATAGAGCGTGTACGCGGGTGTGTTGTGCTGCTGTTTCGATCGCATCGCGCGTTGGAAGACCTTGAATGCGGCAAAGGCTAAGATGGCGGTTGTCACCAGCCACATGGTAATGGCCAGAACAATTTCGGCGGCTGAGTCCCGACGAGTCAATTCCCAGAGACACAGAACACACATCTGTGGGTACCCGATGCAAGCCAACCGGAAGAAGGTATTGCGGAGAATGGGTTTCCAATCTGAGGTGACACTGATGGCGCGATTCAATTTTGGAAGCAGTGTCTGTTTCTTGGCTAGAACAGCTCGGACCAGCAGGACCAGACCTACGCAAACGACGACGATTGCGGTGACGAAGTAGTAGAATAGATATCCAGTCATAAAGATGTTGGTCAGTTCGATGGAATCACGAATTCCAACCCGTTCAATACCGCGAAGAAGAATTTGACTTCCTGTCGCCGCAGCTCTGCGATGAATGTCGGAACGCTTCTGTAGAACAACGGATATAGAACTGGAGGATGTCATCACGGTGGAAGGTGTACCCCCGGTGGCGCGTTGGAACCAGGTCGCAACTTTTTGCAGAGCATCCGACCGCACAATCCCCAAGCTCCATTGCATGTTCTGAGTCCATGATTGCACAAAGGGCGGTAGTTTCGCTGAACTCATCCCGGCCATTGCCTGTGTTTGAATGAATCCGAGGAAGGCAAGCGATCGGAAAGCAAGATGGGTTGCCGTGTTCGAATGACCGAGAAGCGATATGACCGTGGAGGTGACGAGACCAAGACCGGTTATAATGGCGAGTGTCCACGACACACCAGACTGATAGACTGATTTTCCATTGCGAACACGGGTCTGTAAACAGGTGATCTGTTTACCTCCATTTTTGTATTTGAGCTTGAGACGAATGACTGCGTCGATGTCGGGGACGCTATAAGCGATGGCTATGACGTAATCGTTAGTAAGAGCCACAATTTCGGCGTCCCCGGGTCTTCAACCTCGGGAAGCCCTGAAAGGGGGAAGTTGTAAACGAACATGGTATTTGTGAGAGAAAACTGTCGCCCAATTTTTGAGTGATGGTGGGAATTTGCAATTCGATGGCTTTCATAGGACAAAATACCGATAGGTCAAGACTGCATGGATCGAACGACTTGGTGAACGCTTTATATCCGTACACCAAGAGGTCCACGTCAATGAGTACATCTCCGGCCACTTCAGAATAACCATCGAAGATAATACTGATGGACTTGTTGGCTGGTGTGAATACCGCATTGAAATTATTCACGGTCACTTCGGCACTGTCGGAACATTGTGTCAGCCCGGTGGCTTGGATGAGATTCTCTGCTTGTACAAGCTGAAGACTCTGGAGAATGAGGAGGGTGAAAGCTCCGAAAAGGGAGCCATTCAGTTGCATGACGACAAGACGGGGTGAGGTGTAGAAAGAGAAGATGAGGGAGTATGATTCTTTTTCTTTTTGATTTTCCTGATATCTCATTCAAAACTCCACAGTACAACGTAAGCGCTCACAGTGGAGCCAAGAGATCGTCCAGGGTCGAGCAGTGAAACAATAAATCTCAGGCAACCATCATTTATAAAACAGTGGATTGGACTCTCATTTACCCCCATACAATCCATACAGTGGACTCATGATCAACAAAGCGGTTTCCCTGTTCCCCTGTTTCCCTGTTCCTTTGGTTATCCCAGCCTTTTTTGCCCCCCTAACACTGCCCCAGCCTCCTAAAGAGTCTAGACGATCATGTCGATTACTAGTGAAAATCTCTATTTCGGCCTATTCTCGCAATTATCCAGGCACAAGGTCATGAAATCAGCCAATGCAACATAAAAAAAAACTCTACGCCGCCACCGGTCAGGAGATCCAAATTTAGTTCCGCAAACAGCCAATTTTACAAAGTCCCGAGGTCAACACTACAACATGTGTACATATGTACTCCGTACCTCTCAGATAGTTACCGTTGACGCATTCCACAGAGACACTTGGCTTTTGAGTTTATACAACATAGCGTTCATCTGTTCTTTCCGCGACCTTCCAGATTATCAGCTGATCATTTCCCTTTTAGGAAACCTCAAAGGATCTGATTTCCGCCTAAATTTAGAAATGGAGTCAATGATTGTCTCTCATTGGTCAATCCAAGATTTGTGCCGATGTCTAACCAATAGAAATTATCTCACATCTGTAACTTAATCAAGTTCACTGCCCCCGATTAGAAGATCATTGATCTAGAGTTACGTCTATCATTCTCCAAGGTTATGGAGTCGACAACCTGAGACGCCCAGACTACAATGGGCCATGAAAATTGATTGGGTACAACATATGTTCTTGAATATATTTGAGACCCCGGATTTCACTCAACTTGGGGTTCTTCCATAAACGTCCAGATTATTTCAGCAATGCGACCCTGCTTTGTTTCTATTTCTATTCATTAATCCATCGGACTTATAAAACTTGGCTTGATGCTGCGTTCAACTTGGTGAACCAAGACGGTTTCTAACAAATCACCATACCCTCAAGTCAACGTTAATTGTCATATATCGGAGGGATTGAGAACCACGAACTCCTATTGTGCCCGATAATCTCATTCGTCTTCAATATCACGTGTTGTTGATCTATACCCTGCAGAGCCATCAGAGCCATCTCGTGGCATGACGTAGTCACCAGCCACACCCCTAGAATTGAGAAATGAACGGCAGAAAAAGGACGATCCGAGGAGCTATTCTATTGTTCTCCGTACGCCAGGTGATATCATATGTAAACGAAGGCACGGAGCAACGAATTAACTTTACTTGGTTGTCCAACTCACTATGCATCCCATCAGACATGTCACCCGCCAAGCGAACGAGGAATCGCCACCACAAAATCTTCATACATGCTGTCACACCAATGGATATATCCCATTGTCTTTGTCTATCATAAATCACTCGCATTTTTTTTTCCGTCTTATCGTCAACCCATTTCCTGCGCGACCGTGTAGTGAGATGGGCGCGGTCGTAACCAGAGCGCTTTGGTTTATCACTACTGTCAAGACGGTGCGGCAGTTTTATTGTAGATTTTTGTATAGTTTATACCATGCACTGCGCGTGGGATATGGAGTAGTTAAAAAAGTTGTTCAAGAAATAAACAACCGAATGATAATATCGGGGCATTGGAGCTATCGAAGTGAATGGAGGCGAATCACCCACTCCGATCCCTTTGCTAGGCCGGGCTGCCATCACGTAAAGACGGGCGGATAACTTGGTGAACTACTCAACACTGGGTCAGCATACGGTATGTGTTTTCAGATTGAAAAATAACTCGATTAAAATGCACTCCAGTCTATGTAGCGTCTATACATCGTGATCATCTGTACAAGGTCCATAACCAACTCTATATATCTCCCTTTTGCACCCGTATCGCTCATTTTTGTCTCTCTTCATCTTAAGGCGTAGGAGCAACTGAACTGGTGTTCTCTTCATGGTACGATATCTCCTTGACCTCGTAGCGGAACTGCTCCTCTTCTTCCGCGAGAGCGGCCTTGAGAATCTTGTTTGCTCTCCAGACGGGCTTGCAATCAAACAGGCGGTCGACCTTTTCAAGAGGTATACCACTGGTCTCCGGGATGAGGAAGAAGGCGAAAAAGAACGCCAAGAATGACAGTGCAGCGAAGAAGAAGTACACGCCGTAGTGCATCTTGTCGAACATTTGTTCGGTGAATCGAGAAATGAGGAAGTTAAAGAGCCAGTTGCTTGCGGTCGTGGCGGCCTGAGCCAGGGAACGGAAATTGGGATCGAAGAATTCCTAATAGCTTGTTAGCAAAGGGTTTAATTTCAATCGAGGATGGTAATAAGCAATGACTTACAGAATTGATAACCCAGGGGGTACCATTCCAGGTAGGAGTGTAGACAGCAGTCCATAGGTAGAAGAAGAAAATGGCCGCAATGCCTCCACCATTCAGAGACGTGGTGGGGTTATCTTCAGGCTTGACAACACAGATGTAGGCACCGATAACCCACATACAGATCGATCCAGTCACGGCACCAACAAGGAGCAGATTGCGCCGTCCGAATTGATCGACCAGGAACAGGAGCCACACGAAGGTCATAACGGCTTTAATAACACCGAAGATACCGGTCATCAGGTTAACGGTGTCGGAGTCGACACCAATCTAAGGAACCATAAGTTAGCATAATTAACTGGCCATTGGAAGATGAAGCGCAATCATACCGATCTGAAAATGGTAGGCGAGTAGTAGTTGATGGCATTGATACCAGAACCGTTTTGCCAGAAGAAGAGCATGCAGCCCAGCATCAGACGGTACATAACGCTCTTGTTAGTGGCGAGAGCCTGGAAGGGCTTCCAGAAGCCAATACCAATAGAACTCTTCTGATGCTCAAGGGCCTGGTCGATCGCAGCCACCTCTTCGGTGATATACATGTCCTCGGCTTCTAATTGGCGGATCCAGCAGAGATTTTCCATCGCTTCGCGGCGACGGTCCTTGAGGAACAGCCAGCGAGGGGACTCCTTGATCCACAAGGCACCCACGAAAAGCAGACCGGATGGGACAAGTTGAATGGCGAAGGGAATGATCCATTGCTCGTGGTCTTGAGGCATGTGTTGCTCAACACCATACTACCATATCTAGGTTAGCATTGAATGTAAATATCAGCGAGAGGCAGAAAGGCATACATTAATCCAAAAACCTAGCATTCCGCCAACCTGCCAGCCAAGCTCATATAGACCGACGAGCCGTCCGCGGATGGCAGGTGGCGCTAGCTCGGAAAGATATATGGGAATAATATTTGAGGCTACACCGGTACCCACACCGGACAGCACACGACCAGCGTAGAGAATGCCTAGCCCTCGGGCACTGTTGGCACCAAGTTGTAGTCCAGCTCCGAGGAAGAACACGGTGGCGGCAACAGCCAAACTCCATTTGCGGCCGATGAAGTGGCCGAGGGCGTAAGTTCCCAGAGCACCGAAAAAGGCACCAGCAATGAAAAGTGAGACGATATTCTCGCTAATTAGACTTTGTTGTGTGGAAGACATCTCGTCGAGGCCGAACTCCTTCATGAAGGAGGTGAGTGTGATAGTTGTACCGATGAAGGCACTGGTATAACCGATCATATTGGAACCACATGATGCGATTCCAGCGAGTGCATATACACGCCAATTGTAAACGGACTTGGGCGTTGGCCGATCCTCAGCAAGTGTGAGGATGCCCATGGCTGAATAGGTGACAGCTCAGGCTGTGGGAGGTAGAATGGATGGTGAGGGTGAGAACAACAAAAGATTTGCTCGAAGGCAGGATGGAGAAAAGAGAGAGTCAGGATGTGCTAGAACGGGGCCCTAAGTAATACCCGCTATCCTAATGGACTGTGGGTGTGGAAATACCCCAACTAAACCCCCCACAACACATATCGCCTAAATCCCCATAGACCGGGGCAATATAATATGGGGTTCAAACATGAGGCTACGGTACGACGATGATTACAGATGCATGAAGATGTTAAGTGGAAAAATTGGCCGGGGTAGCGTTTTCCCCGGAGGAAACGTTCAGCCGGTAAATAGTTAAGCTTTATATAGTGTTTAACGTATATCAAACTGAATGAGATCACAGGGAGTCTCTTGTTTCCTCATATTTAAGAAAGTTTTCTTGGGTGCAATAGATGGCAAGCCTGTTTGTGGCATGTACTTTTGCTTCTGCACCAGAGAGGAGTCTTATGGGTTTAGCCGTCCAAGTATGTATATTGAATAGGGGCACCGGCGAGGCCCATCGTCTAGTGACGGATTATCTTCTCTTTAGTTTTGGTAGAATAGTAATGCAAACTGTAGCAATAGAGACTGACATATCAAAGTCCCACGTGTTAAGTGAATACCCCATGATCTGTTCCCCCGAATTATTGCAGATGCAAAAATATTTGCCTGAAGGGGAAGAACCCTTAACCACGTGTGGAGCCGGAATTTTGCCGAGCTCTCGGGAAGGCGAACAGTATCCGACACACCGAAGAAGCACACCGAAGCACGGCAAACGGAAGAATTGATAAAAGTCTGTTTAATCCCTACCGACCTCGGCATACTAACCGAACTAAGCTAGAGTATTGATTCATACTGTGCCGACAGGAGGAATACCTCAAGTCGCATTATGACTTGTCCTACCTGGAATCCCACACTCCCACAATATCCCCCGGAAGTGGCGGCATAAATCCCCACGGGCCCGGGATAGTACATCTGCACTAAACGTAATTCCGGGGTCAACATCGCAGGGGTCATCGGGTCCAAATTACTTTACAAATAGATATATAGACACATGTATTGATCCAATAAATTTAACATGGTTATTGCATAGTTCTGATGTTGTTGCCGGTGTCCAGGTAGATTTTAATGACACGAAGCTTGGAACTATACAAGCTCTTTTCGGCCCGGTTCCGGCTTGGAAGGATGCCGTGGCATACCGCCCTCTTGGCACTGGCCTGTCCTGACCCATTAGCAATATTCTAGGGGTGTTCAAGAATTTGTCCTTCTGAATTCACAACTTAGCGCTTAATTGATTTTCCCAATAATTTTGGTACACTATCTGATCCTTTGCTGTACGCTTGTGGATGCGCATCTTCCTGGATCCAAAAGATCCAAAAATGCAGACAGGGGGCTACGCGGCGTGAGTGTTGAAAGCGTATGGTGTATTGTATCATGGACTGTGAGGACCATGCTCAGTTTAACCTATCTTCAAAAATCAGACCGTTACATACCTGAGGTCACTTGGAACAGTACAGAAACCCCAACCTTGGAGTTTAATGATTAGTATATTTTAGCAGCCCTAGATTCGAATTCCTTCGAATTGCCTGCCCTGTTGACAGCAGTTTTTAAGACGAAAGTCGCCGAGTTCCAAGTTCTGAATTCAACAGAGCATCATTCCTCCTGTCGGCTCCAAGACCAAAGCTTGAGTTGGTCCATGCCTGTATGGAGGTCACATGTTGCCCAAAGGGTGGCACCCCGGGATAGTGTTTGGCCATGCAGCTTACGCGGCGGCAGTTTCCAGACTTCTCGGCATATAGTATCCTTCTTTTTCAATTAAGCCCTTAGCACGGATTTCACCTAAACTTATAGATCAATGTTAGCCCAGCTTGGAAAGAATGTAATGCGTGTACAGCATGGATTTGCTCCTTGTCTTGGTCGCTTGGTCTCTCTTTTTGGCAGATTTGGGGTACGCTTCCATGGCTGGGACTTACCGCACCATTGATACAGTCACTGCGTTGGAGGAACATAATGCCAAGAAGCTCTCGAATTTGGGTAATACCAAGCTCCCAATGTCCAAGGCAGCTGCACAGCATGGCGGACGGAAAACCACTCGGCACGGTTACTTAGTTGTTCTGTGCTTATTCCGCTGCTGTCCAGCTTGTAGATTATGGATGGACAGATTTTAAGATGGGGGTTTTGATATGACTTTCGAGACAGATAAATTCGGGGCCATTTTGTTTTACGCTCCAGAGCTGGGCGAGAGATGCGAACAACGCGCCACCGATCGCGTTCAATGTGGACATGGCTGCAAAGCTTTTTGACGCGTAACAAATATTCCGTGTATGATCTCATAAACGAAGATGTCGTGGAGATCCAGAAAGTTCACAGAGGGAGGACCTTGATAGTCAACGAGCATGACGATTGGAAAGCGATGCTGGATACTGAGAACCTGGAGAATACAGGTGTGCTGGAAGATCGGTCTGCTGGAGGGACCCTGACTCGTATCAAATCAAACATCGCTTGCGCATAGATTGATCATTGTTGCTTTTAATTTTGGAAAGTTCCAAGTTTGGAAAGACAATTAGGGAACCTGAGGCATAAAATTTGCCTGAGGCAGCAACACGTGCCATCGACCTTTGGCGCTTCTTTAGGTCACGCTATGTCAACATGAACCGCCTGTATCTCTTTGGACCTCGAACCTTTGATCTTCCAAGAGTGACAAATTGTCCCGGGAATTTTGTGGATACGCCGTTTCCCGGATCATGACCACATCTAAAGCGGGGCATTTTTTCCAGACGAGTCTTATCGGCTGAAGACATGCGAATCTCAGCGCGTGTCTAGTGATTCGAAACACGGTGTGAAAATCAAGTATGTTTTCCTAGATTATCTGTAAATAGCTATGTGAGCTAATCATGTCTTGACAACCCAGCAAAGCAAACATTGGAATAAATAATTGAACGCCTTATCGCTCATCAAGATGGAGAACCGAGTGTCTCTCGGCTCTATCCAGAAGGCCGTCTGGGACGGGCGCTTGCCACTGGAGATTGTTCTGGCTTCATCAGAAAGTCGAACCTTTGATAAGACGGATCCTTATCTTGTATGTTTGTTCTTCAAACACTGATACAAACACTTGATATGCACAAATGCTGAACCCGGTTCCTAGATCGCATATCCGCGCATCTCATATCTTCCCTCGTTGCTACCCAAGCTTCGAGCTTTCTTCTCAACTTTTTTGATAGAGCCGAACTCCCAGTCTCATGATGGCTGGTTTGAGTTTGAGGGGGTGCCTCTGAAATGGCACTACCCAGTCGGATTGTTATTTGACCTCTATGCAGGAGCAGACCCAGCCTCAAAGACCGCCAGAGGTAACGAGTCCCCTATCGACGGGTCATCGCTGCCCTGGCGTCTGATAGTGCACTTTAGCGACTGGCCGGATGACCTTGTTCGCCTTGATGCCGATGGAATGGTCATGAACGACGCCTTCATAAACAGCGTGAAAGAGGCGGATTTCCTACGAAATGGTACAGCCAAAGGCATCATGAGTCTCTCAAAAGAAGACTCATCAGGACTTTGGAATGCTGTTCAAGAAAGTGAGTCAAGCATTTTGTGTAGAAATTTCTCTGCTGCATCAATGATAGAGACCATTCTAACGTGAAAAAATACAGTCGATCTTCTTTCGTTTCAGCGCATATCAAGTATTCTTCTTCCTCAGCACTCGCAACCTTTCCGCAACGTCCCAATCCGGATTTTCCTACCACTCCCGCAAGATGCCGAGTCTTCTTCCCTTAAAGTGGTACAATCCCCACTTCCTCCTTCAATGCCAGCATCTAGTATGCAGTCAAGTCAGATACTGAGTTCGCGGAGCGGTTCCACACTCCAACCTCAAACGGTCGGAACTGTCTTGCACACATTGCTACCAAATCTATTTCCCAGTCGGAGAACCCCTGTCCTTGCAAAGCCCGTCTTACACGGCGCTGTGATACCCATGTCTACTCCGATTGAGGAACTCGTGAGAAGCTCTGCTTATGGAGACGGGTGGGCATATCTTGTTGTTCGGATGATGGGATGAGATGACATACACCAAGCAAGGAATATATATATGTATCATCCTCGAATGATACTAACAACTTTGCAAGACATAAATGAATCGTATCCGATTGTAGATCAGTAGTATAGACCCAAATAGAACGTATCCCTTTTACTTCTTTACGATGATCCTGAGAACCACCCCCAGCGGCGATGTCCTTATACAAGAAGGTATACAAATGGATCATGGAGAGCTAAAAACTGAGTACGTATACAAAATGAAGTGAGATCGCACGTTACAAATAAGATGTAAGATTCTCCACATTAACAATCTGTTTCTCCGCCAAATGTAACTATACTAATCAAGGGGGTATCAGTCTGACCTCTTGTGAATTTGTGCAAGGGGGTGACAAAAGAAATACGTCCACTATGTACCAACAATAACGCGAGAGCAATGACACCTAGGTACTTCCTTCGGCGATAATGGGGACAGTCACAAAAACAAAAAACAGACAAGTTGTAAGCGTACACATATGCAAAGAGCTGAAAGCAACGCGACAACAAATATGTATAAACACTCAAATCACATTCCCATTGACAAGCATGTCATCGCCACCGTCCCTGCCCTTCTTCAGAGCCTTGGCAAGCATAAGCTCACGCATCCAGTCAATGCGATCCTCACGAGACTTGACAGCGAAGTGGTGACTCTTGACAGCATTGTTTCCAAAGAGTGCCTTTTTCTCATTCTCCCTTGTAGCTGGGATAAGTGAGAAAGCAAAAGCAGTACCATCACGGCTGTCAATAGTATTGTTCCCGTTACGTAGGATCGAGCGCTTGAACGCAGCCGTCAACTTAGAGCTTGTCGCCAGCGACGAGCAAGCCACAGCGTATTCGTCGACTTCGATGTTGTCGAGGGCACGGGAGACCCGGTGCGCATCACGCTCGTCCTTGTGCATAGCCAGGTTGGTGCCGCGGAGCGTGAAGTGCGCGTCGGACCATTCATGTCTGAGCAGACGTGTGGTCTTGCGCTTCTTCATGTAACCTGCATGGGTAACGTCCGGATCAGATGCCAGAGAAGCAGACATTGAGCCGCTGGTACCATGTTGGTGCACGCGGGGGCTTCGAATCAGGTCTGCTGGAACATCGATCGGGGTCAGAGGCTTGTCCTCTTTCACCTGACGGAGAGGGAGAACATCACGAGAACGGTTCGAGGTCCTCCGTGAAAGGTAATTGGAATCACGGAGAGGAAGATCATCACTGGGACGAGTTGAGGTGCTCCGTGGAGGGTAATTGGAATCACGGAGAGGAAGATCACCACTGGGAAGGGTTGAGGTGCTCCGTTCAAGGGAATTGGCGCTACGGTATGGAGGGAACAAGGTTCCGTATTGCATGCCTGGGGGCACAGATTGAGACACATCACGAGGGATCGGATCACTGGGGATTGCAGTGATAGGGACATCAACTTCGGAGAATGGTGTACCTTGGCGATAAGTCTCAATGGCTTGTGTTTGATGCGCATGACTGAATGGACCAAATTGCTGAACAGCAGTGGGAGAGCCATTCTGATGAGTGGGAGTGAAGTATCTGTTGGTAGTAACAGCGGTTGTCATATCTTCCGTGACAGGACTTGTCGGGATCGTAAGCTTCGGAAGATTGCGCAAATTTGCGGCCATGGAGTTTGACTGGGCATTTGGCGGGGAGATGTCATCAAAGCCATTTGGCGGTGGAAGGTTGTAAGTGTCCAACCCAAGGGGTCCAGGTTTGGGGAAGTCATCGACATGCTGGTGCCTGAGGAAGTTGCGGATTGTTTCTTGCGGATCCAAGCGCCCTACTTCGCTCAGAGCTGCTTCGGAGAGCCTTGGTCCGGACCGAGGGCCAAATATGTCTGAGGAAGCCACCACTGATAGCTCGGCATCAGACATGGGTCGGAGAAGATTTCTCGCGGTGTCAGGATTTCCGGGGCTACCTACAAAGATGGCACCCCGCTGGAAATCGGCCCCCTGGAAATCTGTGTCAGGGTATTCTGCAGCAAGCTTCTCCAGGCGCCTCTGCTGGTTCTGCTGGAGCCTCTTGTACTTGCTGCAATTTTTCCCTTTGGAACACCTGTGGGGCTTTGGATGGAATTCCTCGATTCCTACAATTGAAACAGACTCTGCGGTTGTATTTTGATCTCCGGTCTGTCCAAAGGAATTCGAGGAGAGAACTTGACCGTTAGGCGATACAGACACTGTGTAGGATCGGCCTGTAGGAGGAGTTCCTCTAGGAGCAAACTCTTGGGGTGCAAACCCTTGGGGGGCAAATTCTTGGGGAGCAAACTCCTGGGGGGCAAACCCTTGGGGAGCAAATCCCTGGGGAGCAAACTCTTGGGGAGCAAATTCTTGGGGAGCAAACTCCTGGCGGGTGAACGATCCGGGAGATGTTCTCCCGTTAGAAGACGCCGCCTCGGATGGAAACTGAGACGGGGTTTCCGGAATCGGCCTCGTCTGCATATGTTGCTTGAGGTATTTAATCGAGTTGAAGATCTTGCGACGTTTGCCCATAGATTGGATTAAGAGTTGGTCCTTGAGTTCATCCTCTGTCAAGGCCATCAAAATGTCGCCGCAGATATCATTTTTGATGAACGTATCGCGAACATCCTCAGCGTATCCACCGATAAATAGCCAGTGAGCAACCTGACTGGGATCCCAGTTCCTAATCTCCTCCTCTGAAAGATGAGACACATCGGGGTTGGGTGGGAAAGCCTTTGGTGTCTTAGGAGACAACAGATACGGGTTGGTGAACTCAGAGTGATACTGGTTGACGAACCCAGCCTGATGCTGATTGACGAACTCAGGCTGTGTGAGTGACGGCGTAAAGTCGACTGTAGGTGACGGTGCAAGGTAGAACTCAACATCTACCGTCGAACCTCTGGATTCTCTGAACAAGTCAGGACCTGAAGGGCCAGCAATCAGTTCCTTGCTTGATCGAAAGGTAGGCAGCGTTCTTGGAACTAGATCTGGAGTTGGTAGCTCAGGACTCGAAAGAGTAGTGTTGCTCCCGTAACTGAGCTAATTATTTCATGTTACATTAGCCTTCGTCTTTTGATATAAGGACGAGGACACTTACCGATTGCATACTCTGCCGGTGAGATTCGCCCCAGTCACCACCCTCAGAATCCGTGTCGTCAAATACGGTTGCCCCCGAGTTAGGGCGCTTGTTTTCGACGGTCTTTTTAGGATAGAACCATTCGTGATTTGTGGTGTTCACACCAGCAGGAACTACCCTTCGCCGAGCAGCTAGTGATGAATTCGAAATCTAAAATGGTTAACAGGGATCATATCATTGCCCTCGCATTCAAACTCACCATGTCGTAAATCGTAAGTATGCTAATCTCCAAGATATAGTATAATTAAATGAATGTGTTGTTATTAGTGGTTCCCGCACAGCAGTGAACCGACTAGATATGAAATGAAAGTAAGAATGTGAGTGGTGATCCAGAACTGGAAGATCCAACAAAACTTCGTGACACGCGGGGCAGTTGGGTTATAATAAGTGTGCAAAAGTGTACTAAAAAAAAATAATTATCCTTGAAACACCTATAGCGCTGGGGAGCAACCACCTAGCCAACCCGAACCGTCCAACGAGACCAAATTTCCGTATCATGCGATGTTGGTAAAACTCAGCGCGTAATTAAAAGTCGGTAGCAGAGGATCGAGAGGATTGGTTGAGAGCAGGGATACAAGGGCATACGTGATTGTGATATGAAGTGATCCACCTGCAGTAGTTTAGGTTGAGATGCAAGCACCTCGCATTAGCATTGTATTAACATCACCCAATTATAACCCATTACCGTATTTATTTCGAGAACAAGGCGGCCTAAACTTGGACTTTAACTGGCTTAACTGGCTTAAAGGATATGCATTTCTCTTGAAGCAACCATGTTGTCGAAAGTTTGTCTAGAGGGTGAAGATGTGACAGGCGTGCAGTTAGCGCCCATGCAGCAACCCCTCTCCCACTTCCCACCTATAGGAACCCGATGTAGTGTGACGACCTCACATCAACTCTCAATTAGCGCAACGACACATTCTCGGGAAGATTTGCATCCTCCTCTAGGGTTGCTATATTTAATTGCGATTCCATTCTCGAGTCATGTCCCCTGGTTTCTTTTCCTGCGTTGCTAGGGTTTCGCTCGCTAACGGCGTTCCGTCACCAACACTTCAAAATATGCCGGCTTCTTTCTCTAATTATATTTTTCCAATTCAGGAGTAGTGACTCAGTGGCTTGAGTATTTTCTTCTGTCCGTCTTGTCATTGTAAATATGATGTAAGCGTTGGGGGCCAATCGAGCGGTCTGTGTACGGAGACCAGGATGGCTATTAAACTTGTGCCCTTTTCAGAAGTTGTTGGCACACACTTAGAATCATACTATGAAGATAGCTATGGGGTAGAATTATTGTTTTTAACCTCCGAAGCCGACCCTGGGAAAGTTAGGTGCTGGCTAATTTCCGAATCTTTCCAGCCTTCTAGTTATCTCACCGCTGTCTTAATTGTGAATTATTGGGTCTGAAACCCCACAGATGGCTGGGGAGAGGGGGTTTGAATGTGCCATGTGCTGCATATTTCTCGGCCCACATTGATAAATTAGCTGCAGTTGTTCATTGGAAGAGATCGTCGTAAATTGCCACATGCAACTAGGAAAAAATACTATTATGTTGGTATCAGAGGATATCATTTTAGGTGCTCTACTAACTCGTGTAAATCCTACTATCAAAGATATCATAAATAAACATATTTCTTTGGCTCTATAGAGCATACGATCTTGACAGCCAACCCAATGTAATCCATTCAATATGAAAAGTCGAGACTGCCAAGCATAGCCGCATGGAACTTAGCAAATATGTAATGGCCGCCCAGATAACAATCGACAATCGGATATCTACAGATATGTATTCCGTACTCCGTACTTCGTATCGTGTTCATTTCTAACTTGTCGGCTGTGTCACTTTCGTACCTGAGTGGTTGTGTAACGTGGGATAGTCTACAAGTAGAAAAGGCTTCGGACTTCATCTTGGAGAAAACAGCGTAAGACTCAGTTCTATGCAAACGAATTCACAAGACTGAGAACAATACGGAGTACGACAGTCACTGTTGAATTGGTTGGATAAAAATATTCCCAAGGCCTTGATAGTTAGAATAGAAATGACAAAAACGGTTGAGGGTCACACCTACGGACTGTATATCTGTATACACGTACCCGCTGATTTTGAATGGCCTAGATCATTTATATATATACACATCATAATTAAATACACAACCCAGGAGAACGGAAACCGACATCAAGATGAGAGGTATCAGATCACTTATATAGATGCCTTCACGACCAAGAGGGATCACACACTAACCAGGTACTTGAATAATGGCCGATGCATGGCTCTAACTATCGGTCAAAATACTAGGAAAGTAGCTAATCAACGCATGATTATGCAGACCGTCGACTTGAGACCCGCGAACTACATCGTATATGGTATCATTATTCCCCAATGACTAAAGCCCCAAGTGCAGTAGGGGCATTCTAGGATTTTTCCTACAGGTCCTAGTCTGTGAGAGGTCAAGTGGTGTGGTTGTAAAATGCACGAGGAGTTTCCACATTGTGCGTTTATACTTTGGATGTGCGGATCGAAAATTTCCAACAGGCCGAGGGTTGGGCTCTATGGTTGGGGATGCCAACGTACGAGAAATTCCAACTCCAAGCCGTATTCTGTAAGCATGTTGGAGGCGACAATGGATTGGTCATTATTTTCCTCTGCCCGTAAGTCACGAAGGCCAAGCTGCAGTTGGCCGTTGCTGATGGGGAATTGCACACTAGGGAAAAATGCGACTTGGCATTCTCACAGCTTGAGCCGGAGTTTGACAGAGCATAGGCTATACCAATTAAAGTTTGATATTATGGATTAATTGTCCTATTTTGGGACTCCACTCGATTTCCGTCGAGGGTTATTAATAGTAAATTCATTCGAAAGTAGACGATCAAGGTTAATTTGACACCCTATAGATAGATGAAACTAAAGAATGGGGTAAATTAACTCAAATTGTGCCGAAGGTGGGCGGTTAAGTGATACTAATTAAGGGAGTATAGTTATAACTATGCACGCTAACTAGTTAAATGACGCTAAAATTCTTTATCACATCACATCCCCCCCCGCTCTCGAATCTGCACGGGGCATCTGTGGGACTATAGGCTATACCCTAGTCATACCATAGTCCAATAGTCCAACCATTCAGAATTCTCAATGGCCCCCGGTCAAGTACTTAGGTAGTGAGCAATTTTGCAATTCTTGTCTCTTTGTCCAATTATGATGCGAGAATGAAAAGCTTGGCTTGCTCCACTTGTATTGTCACACTACAACATACTATACCTTCAGTTCAAGGTCACTCATGATCTACCAGCCTTCTCAAGGTGATTTATCTCGTTCATTGGTTAAAAGTATTTCGCGATCAGACTCTTACTAAATTTGGCCAAACCTTTGCGGCATTTTTTTCTCAATTTAGTAACTTAGGGAAAATTTTATGCCGGCCCTGTTGCTCGTCACATCTCACCCCCGCCTGCAGCCTTCGTTCCTTGCAGGTCAAGAGATTTTGTGACAGTGGCTTGACCACGAGTAGGCTTAGGATGTCAAATCAGTCAGTTGGTTGGTAAAAGTATCTAAAAACCAACAATAAACTTTGACTGTTGGGTTGAAACCGAGACTATGGTATAGTGAAAGGCGTCTAAGAGACAACCTCGAAAACCGATATTGATCCAGGTCCAATGATCTATCTGCAGCCACCCATGTTACAGAGTAGAAAGCACGAAATCCCAGCCCGACCGAAGGATCGCCATCCAGTCCTTCGAGGAACTTGGAGGTCGAGGTGCATGCGCTAACGCCGCCATGCTACCTCAAGTCACAAAAATAACGGAGCTAATTGTCCCAAAATTAGTCTCAAAAGACTAGATTGCAACATTTACCACCATTTCTGCAACTCTCATTGGTCGCTTACGCCTGTTGGCTTCCTAGCCCAGCAATATTCTGCGATGATCCAACCCAACTCGTGCTGCTGCCCCCCCAAATTATCCCGATCTTGCATTCAATCTATGAATTGTGCAGGTTGGTTCTAAAATAGAAACACCCGCTTTGCTTCCGCGAGCTATCATGAGTTTTAAAGCATCGTGAATCCCACGGTTTTAGACTCTCATCCTCATCATCTTTCTAACAGTTGCTCAGCCAACCTCACCTTTCTTTTCATTCTATCTTGATAGACTACAAAGCCTGCTGGTTCAGCTTTGCTATAATATCTCTCGTCTACACTTGATTTCGGTCTTCTGATTATACAATCACTATCGTCGATCATTCTGCGGTTATCTAATTTCAATCTTCCAATATTTCAATATGCCAACCTCGAAGAATTCCTCTGCCTCTGGCACTAAGCCTCTTGCTTCTGCGCATACTTCAATGCCTCAAAGCACCCCTCCGGCGACTCACACACATGGAGATAGAGCAAGTGGTCGGCTGCACAAGCGATCCCGATCTGGTATGCGATCTGCCATTATTTTTGCGCGCTGTCCCTGAAGCCACCCCGACGAACTATACTAATTCGAACAGGCTGCTTCACATGCCGCCTACGTCGAAAGAAGTGCGATGAGAACCATCCTTCCTGTACCGCCTGTGTCAATCTCAATGTGCGCTGCGAATACAAACGCCCGATTTGGTGGGCAAATGCCGAGCAACGGAGAGCCCAGAAGGAGCGCATCAAGAACAGGATTAAGCAAACCAAGATGTTGGAGCGAAACGGTCACTCCTCTGGTATGTGTTTATCTGATTCGGACTTCTCCTACATCTCAGCTGACATCTGAGACACACTAGACCGCCACCGCTATATGTCTGCGACATCGCCAACTTCACCTGTACACGAACATGGCCGCCATAGGCACAACGAGCCCTACGATCTTTTCTCATCTCAGCTGCCCACCCCTGGATTGGGAAGTGCTCCTCGTGGGCCCTACATACCTTCCTATGAAGTCGATGTGCGAACCGAGAGACAAACATTTATCAACGATGTGCCTACGCGGCATGATTCTTCGACATCAACCTTCAGTGCATTTGCACCTCCCCAACTTAGTGCTCCAATGCCAACTTTCGCTGGCGATGAATGGTTTGGAGATGAATATTTTGCACAAGCCTCGGCATTTAATGGTGCCAATCTGGGAGGCATTAATCCTAGCTTCGATCACACACACGCATTGTTGCAAAGCAACATTGCTGTCAGTGACCATGACCGGCCACTCCTCGATCACTTTATCCACAATGTGCTGCGCCAGATCTTCCCCGTTCTGGAAGCTCACCAAAAAGGCCACTTGCGTGCACAATCAATTTTGCGCGCTCTGGAAACAAACAAGTGCTATCTTCACTGCTGCCTGAGTGTCGCCGCCATCCACCTTAAGACTACGGAAGGATTGGTTGGCGAGCAAGTTGACCATGATATCATGCGACACCGTTATGAAGCCATTTCTCAACTATGTCAGGCTCTGGGAGATGATGTTAAACACGATGAGATCCTGGATGCGACTCTTGCGATGATCCTCTTTCACTGCGCTGTTGGACCTTCGGATGACTACCTCCCCGACATTCCGTGGTTTGATCACTTCCAAGCTGCATCAAACCTTGTAGCTAGACTTGAACTTCCATCCGCAACAGTTGAGAGCTCTAACGGATATCTGGTTGCCCCATTCAGCATGAGCTTGACTTCTTGGATTGATATCCTGGGCTCGACAATGGTGGGCAAGACTCCCGAATTTGCTCACCAGTACCGATCAAAGCACTTGGGTGGAGCCTCCTCTGGCTTACGCGAGTTGATGGGATGCGATGACCGGATCATGTATCTCATCTCTGAAATTGCTTGTCTGGATGGTCTAAAGACAGAAGGTCGAATCGATGACTTAGCTGTCTGTACTCATGTTCAGGCGCTAGGACAACAACTTGAGTACACAAAGCCCGCCGATTTCAAGCTGGAGAACCCATTCTCACCTGCAACTGGAGCCATTTGCCCTGACGCCCTGACCAATAACATCTCGCACATCTTCCGGATGGCAGCTCAAATCTACCTTTGCAGCATCGTACCGGGCTTTGATCGCAATCAAGAAAGCACCAAGAGCTTGATCATCGCAATAACAGACGCGCTCCAGTTCATTCCTGCTGGTCCCCATGGCTACGACCGCTCTCTTGTCTGGCCACTGCTCATGACCGGCGTGTATTCCAGGCCATCGAGTCTCTTCCGATCTGTGATCGCCGATCGCGCTGCTGCGCTGGGTGAACATGGTGACCTCGGTAGCTTCGGACGCATGTATCGCCTCCTACAAGAGGTGTGGCGCCTGACAGATGACCCATTCAACTCTCAAGTCCGACCTGGAGACAACTCCTACAACTCCTCACTTACCAGTCCTATTTCGAGACTGGACGGCCCCCACTCCCACTCTGGCGCTGGCGCCACTATGGGTGGACGGGAAATCAAAAAGCAACAAGTCCACTGGAGGGACATCATGAAGCGGAATAACTGGCATTACCTCCTTATTTAAGGAGTGTGTCTTATTTGTATTCTCTTTTGTTCTATTTCTCACGAGGTTGATTCTCGTGCTGGCTCACCCTTACCTAGATGGTAAAAGATACCCCACTTCGCGACCAGGCGTTATTTTTTGTATGCGAATGAATTTCATGTCTTATATCCTTGCTTCTTGTTCTGTTCTTCCTTTATTGCACCCTGGGCTGGCGTGTATTTCAATATTTGCTCAAAATCCAAGAGATACCAAACCAACTTTTTCTCTCACTCGTGTCAGTCCTGAATAGAGTAAATTGTAACTTAATAAACCCTCCGCTGTGAAGAACATACCTATGTATGGAGTAGTCTCCAATGTCAGAGAAATCAAACACTAGACCGCAACTCCAGAGCTTATTAAAAATTTTCCAGAGTTGAAGTTGGCACATGTTTTCTCGGCTACTTGCCTGTTGTAATCCTCTGAAGAGCTAAACATGCAGCTTTCGTTCGGGGCATAGTTAACAAGAGCTTAGGCATGTTGTCTTCCTGGTGTGCATGTATGTATCAACCAAAGTTTAACTTTCTCTCAATAATTCTTCGTAGAAGCTAGGTGCGAAGTCTGGAGTCTGATGTTTGAAGGAGAAGGCGCATCTACGTTTATAAACTAAAAAGAACCATTATACAGATCGATAACATGCGCCAGGGATGAAGCCAATTGACTAGAACAACATTGATTGTTTCGAATCCTGCACAATGATTATTGCAGTGTCAACTAGCGCTTTTCGAAGCTATATCTTAGTGCATCTACTATGAAGCAAAGCGCTTATTGCTTCACCGGCATAGGTAAACCAGGGAGAAAGTCCAAAGTCCATTTTGTGAGAATGCCACAGCGGCAATGAACACGTTAGTTGGTTCAATTAGCAACAACAAATGAAAATGCCATTCCACCGGTCAGCCACAAGGAAAGTATAAACATGTTCTTTTAGACAAGTGATAGTAATAGATGCACAATATCGTCTTTCCAACTTAGTACCTTGGTGAGAGATTATATAGACAAGGACTTTGGCTCGGGAAGCTTCGATATCATATCTTGACTTTCTCACTATCGACGCAAAATTAGAAAGACCGACATAACCCCATATCCACAGAGGAGCTCGTTGTCAGGAGTTTCCCCTAGCAACAATTTGGTAGGCGAACAATGTCTCTGTAATAGATCTGGCCCTGCATAAAATATCCGGGGCTATTAATATCGTGCAGCTTCTGAAGAACTGTGGAGGTAGTCTTCTTCAGAGATCTGGTAAAACACATGAATGGTTGGACCAAGAGCCTAAATGCATACGTCAAACAAAAGTCCCTGTTTGATCGTCTAGCTCAAGACACAATAGATCCAATGGAGTTGTTTGGGTTAGCGCGCTATACTAGAGCCCAAATAGGAAGTCTTCAATTCTCAAACCGAGATACCCCTTAAAGCGAGCCGCTAGCAACGCTGCAAGCTGCGCGCGTCAAGGCTGGACGAATCAGAGCGTAGTACAGGGTAAACAGTGGCTTGGGATAGAGAGTATCGCCTAGGACAACAGCCGCTTTCTCTAACGGCTCCTAGTACATGGCATAAGGGGTCGTTTGATTCAGATGGCGCGCGACAGCGATGCTCATGTTGCACCTGCGTAACTTTGCATTTCTGCGGCGACTATGGAGGGGGAGTCAGAGAAGCAGCAAAATTAAAAGTTATAAAGATCAAGACATGATGCCGTTTTGACTCCACGATATCATTCCGCAGTTTTCTTCCTGTTTCACCTGAATCTTGACTTGCTTCTTAGCATTGACGGTTGAGTCTTAATTTATTGCTTGATTTCCCTGTTTGCATCAATTGTCAAGAGAAGAAAACAATTTCTCTTTGGAAAACATTGCCGGTATCCATTTTTTTTTTTTGGCCCTCGTTCAATTGGAACAAAAATAGTAAGTCTGAGTTCCACTGCCACACTGTTGCCGCCGATATCGAACGATTTGGGGCTCAGATGTCCCCACCCCTTTAGTGCCCGTTCGGCCTTGAACCCTTGTTCAGCCTTTGTAACTTACACGAAATATTACAGGCTGGTTATTTTACCGTTCCAAACGTGAAAATACTTGTATCGCCCAATTTCACCAGGATCATCTGTCTGCCTTGCTCAGATAGATAAAACAGTCTCTCCGCATCCTTTCGTTTTCGCTGCTGGCTAGCACTCTTCTGTTTTTGGTCTCTTTGCTATTGCTTCAGGCCTTCTGTTTTTTTTTCTTCTTATATTTTCATCATCTTATTTGACTACTTCAACTACTTCGCCCGTGGCCATACACCCCATCCATCTCCCTCTACCTACTTCCTCAACCCACCTTTTTAATTCTCACGCGTCTGTCAAAACAACTCGGTTGCCCAACATCATTGTGACCTGTTCAAGATGCCGGGCGTCAAACCCATCCTTCCTCCTCTCAAGACGCCAAAGACCGAGATCTTTCCATCGCAACTTCATAGTGGTTCTACATCCAGTGTTTCCGACTACATCAAGCAAGAGGACCTGTCAACTCCTATTACACCTCCGACAGCCTACACGGATTTCCTCAAGGCCCTCACACCTGTCTTTACCGGCCCCATGAGTGCTGGTCTCAACTTCCCCAAGTATCCTAGTGACAAAGCCTCCAATGCTACATCGCCCACCTCTCAACCCGCGAGCGCATTCAGTGAATCGACGTTTAGCGATTCAGTCAGATCGCCGACTATATCTTTACCACCACCCACGCCAAACTCAGCGGCACCATCTCGAAGAAGTTTCCATGGTCGCCGCCTTCGCATCCAGTCGTCGCTGAAGTTCTCGCCGAGCGCAGACTCACCCCGGAGCGCAACACCCCGGAGCGCAACACCCCGGAGCGCAACACCTTGGAGCGCAGCACCCAAGAGCGCGACGACTCTTCGGTCACCCTTCTCGCCGTCAGATTGGACGCTACGCTATTATGATTCGCCCCGCAGTGCGAAGCCTGTCAGCGTGAAGCAGGTTGTCACGCGAACGGTGACCTACAAGCGCACTCAGCTAGAAGCGCCGCCGAAGGGAAAGCGGCGCAAGTGTCGCGAAGCCAAGGAAGTTGACTGACAGTCTGGGCTTACGAATTATGCTGTTTGATTCATGCATTTGGCTAGTCGGTGGTTTTAGCGTGAGGGCTGGATTCGGCGTTCCGATGGCGCATTTTCTTTTGTTCAAAATCATATATAAGCCTGGTGCTTCATTGTCTTGTCTGCTTAAGTTTTTTGGTACCGTGTCAGCCTACCTTTAAGGTGGTAATCTGATGAATACGTTTTGTGGCAGCCTGGGAACACTATTATTCGTGACTAGGGTCCCTGGGCATCGATACATATGAGGCCCTTCCTCACACCGACAGTTGCTGGATTACTGCTTTACACCTTATTAGTGTCTGGATAGTCAAAGAATCTTTTTTGTATTATTTACACTGTCTATCATAGGTCCATTTATTCTCGTTATAACTCACTAAACTAAAAGGTGTCTGCCCTTCTCTACTCTTCGTACCTAGGCACTGACTTCGGCGTCATTTCTGTATAATAATATGCACTGTCTGGCCAGGTGTACCTCAACGTGTCGTCAAGTTAACTTCGAAGTACTGGACACGTCACGTCACTTAAGACGCCATCGAATCGGAACAAGGAATTGGCTATTAAATCTCTAGCTTTAGCTGCTTAACCAACAATGGATTCTTGACCGGATAGGACGGTATTCGACGGGCGTCGCTTTGACCACGCGGAGACATGGATCATAGATCCTAGCGAATGGGGCCGGTAAAAACCAACAATATTCCTGTTATGTACACTTTGAACACGCGCCTCGTGTTGGCGCTATCTATATTGTCGGGTGCCGCTACTCCCATTTCTCCTACCGTGCATTCCACCACGTGCCATCCGTGCAAGAGGCTCTTTTATAAAAGGTCGATCTGTATGAGCCTCATTTCAAGATTCAATATACAAAAGTACTTTGTCAACACGTTTCTTTTTTTCCTGGTTACGAATATCCAAATCTTAAGGATTGTAAAAATGAGACGCACATCTGCCCTACAAAGGATACCCTATCATAGTGGCGCTTTACTTTTTATTTTTTAACGAAGGATCGAGACGAGGCTGAACAACATTGAAGTCTTTTGGCCCCATTGCTACGGAGTACCAATAGCATATCTGGAAGTCAAGGGATTCTGGACAAATCCACAGAAAAGCGACCAATTGAGCTCAGTGAGATACAGCGACTTTATTGTTAGACAAATCGAGCGCTACACAGTTCAAATGTAAACCAAGATTCACTGCCAGCACGGATGCCCGTCCATATCGGGTGAATTCTGACTCGTATACCTTCTTTTCCAACAAATAGAAGACTGTATCCCACTCACGATAGGGCCCAATCTCCGTCTAGTTCAGTTAGGCTTTACTCGGATTTTTTTTTATTGCCCCTCGGGCTACTCGGAAATGCCCGAGTACTGAGTAACATACAAAGGGAGTCCAAGGCCAGGTGGTAATATACTCCGTTACATTACTGATTATTCAAAGAATATGTAATATTACCACGTACTGTCAGTACCGGCGTACATTTCCTACCTCGTACTGCTAGTAGTTTACCTAGACTATGTTATTGAATGCATCGTAGCACTAATGCGGAAGATCGCACCTTCTCTTCACCATTCATGCAGGCTGCGAGAGTTTACAATTCTGCATTTATTAAACTGTCTACTCCGTAGTAAGCACGTAGAATAAGAGGTTTCCCACTTAATTCTGCAAACACAAGCACTAGGTACATTTGTGATGTAGGTAACTGGGGCGTGACAGTGATCATAACGCCACTGATTGGGCCATATAGCGCCTCCCGTGTTTCAAGTTGTTATTGAAGAAATGTGACCAGGGATCATGTCGCTCTTTAATCCGCTAGATGGTGTCCTTCCCCTGTGCTAACCCCTTACCCTACTGTTTCAAGTATGCCCCTAGGATATAGAACACATCAGTGTTTCATTCTCTAATCGAAC